TTTTTTTAAGGCGAAAAAACGCAACTGGGCTTCTTAGACGTGGCCAAGCTTGTCAAGGGAAGGAATATCATTCTTCAGGGAGCTTAGTGGCAAGTTTTAAATGGTAGGCACGCAAAGCTTTCGATTGATTGCTAGATTCCCTCCCTTCACGATGGTAAACTCCATCCTCACTTGCATGCCTCTTTTGACCTTAACACTAGGGTGTAAACTTTCACGATTGGGATTCTAGAACTTGGAACTTGGCCACAATTCGAGCTTTTATTTCTCATAAGGAGTGTAATATCCGGCTTATTCGCACAAGGAGTGGAAGGGAGCATGACAGATTGGTGTGGCCTAGGGAAAAGAACGGTGAATTTTCGGTGTGATTTGGGTACCACTGCATCCATGCCAAGTAGTAAGTGACTACTGCCAAAAATCCCTCAGCCTCATCTCGGATTGATCCCTTGGTGTGGAAAAATATTTGGAAAGCAGAGGTTCCTCCAAAGATCAATAGCTTCTTATGGCGTGTGACTTATCGTAGACACCTACTACGATGACTCTCCACAGACGCAGACTTTCAAGCACTTCTTTATATCTCATCCGCTAGATTAAGAAGGAATTTATGGAACATATGCTCCTTCTTTGCCTGTGGGTTGACCTGGTTTGGTTTAGTGGCCTTCTCAATTATAAAATTGACAAACCGGACATAAATACCTTCAATCATTAGATATTGAAGTGCACCAATGAGGAAAAATGGCGTTTCGTAGATATTATTGATGTTACATGCTAGACTATTTGGAAAACAAGGAATTGGACAGCTTTTGATCACGTTCAACCACAACCACACTTGGCCATCCAAACCATTATTTTGAAAATGAAGTAGTTGTCTGTGACAAATAATCGAAAGAGTGACAAAAGTATTCTTGAAGGACCCTCTCCAAACTTCGATTCGTGGACCGCACCTGAAGCCCTTATTATTAAAGTAAACATTCATGTTTCTCGGCTGACCTTTTCTTTCAAGGCGAGAGTAGGTCTTATAGCTCGGAATTCCAATAGGGAGTTCGTGAGGGGAAAAATGTCTATCTTTCCGAGCGGAGTGTGCAATCATGGCTAAGGCAATTTATGGTCTTGAAGGATACAAATGGGCAATTGAGCTTGGTTTGTCAAAGGTTTGTTTTGAATATGTTTCCAAGGAATTGATCGAAAGTGTGAAAGGAAATATAAAGCATGGAAAATGGAATCTTTTTCGGTTCTATCTAGGATTCGTGAATTCAACACCAATTTCTCAAAATGTAACTAGGCATGGACAAGTAGGAAAAACAATGAAAGGGCTGATCATCTTGCATTCCTGACATTATCGAGGTTGAGTCAAGAAGTTTAGTCATACGGGCTCCCCACCTCTCTTGTGTATGTTCTGAATCGTGACGGTCTTCCCAGTTCTCTTAAAGAATCCATGTAGTAGGTGTTGATCAAGATGTTCATGACTCTCTGCATCTGGATTGTCATACCACTCTCAGTATAGTGGGGCTCTTTCTTGTGTCAGTTTGTTTAATTGTGTTTTGAGTTTATCGGCTTTGCATGCATTACTGTATCTTTCGCATAGCTTTGCTTCTCTTTCTTTGAGTTGTAATCTATTTTAGGTTGCTCTCTTTAAATGAAAGATCTTATTTAATAATAAATAAATAAATAAATAATAAAAAAAGGCCCGACACAAAGTTTCAAAATTCAATTGACAAGAACTCCATTTCTTTCTACAGAATGACTCATGCCTTTGTTTTTAAACTTAATTATTATTGACATCTTATTCAACCCTTCAAGCCGAATAGTGATAGGACACCATGTGGACGACCTATCAGCAAGGATCTTATTGCCTGGTCATCCTCCTACCTGATGAGACCCTCGAACAGACCTGATTTGATGCATGACCACATGACCTATATTCTTATAAGACCACTATAATGACCCGACCAGAACACTTGGCTTGAATCAACATGAACCTCCCCTTAGAGCATCTCCAACAGAGTTGCTATACTATGATCCTTAGCTGTTTTGGCTAGATTTAGGGCAAAAAGCAGCTCCATTAGACTTGCTATCTAGCTTTCTATTTTGGATAACTCCCTATTTGAGTTTAGTGGCTTTCTACATTTAGAAAGGATGAGAGAAATTGAGGATTCTCCATTTCTTCCTCTTTTCTCTCCCTAGGTTCACAACCTCTTACTTTTTGATTTTTTAATGAACTTTTAATTTAGAAATTAGGAGAGAGAAATAATAAAATATTTGAGATAAGCCAAAATATAGAACATTGTTGGAGGAAACACATTTTAAGTACTTTGCTATAATGGCTTTCTAGCTATTTTAGCTAGAATTTGGCTAAAATTTGGAGACACTCCTCGAGATGCTCTTAGTGAGACTTAAGTGGCCAAACCATGAGCAGGTGAACTTAGTCACTAGGTATCCCTCTACGTGCACCAACTAGGACAAATGTCACTCCCTTGCTGGAACATGCATTAAATTTGTTCCTAATCCCAGCAAGTGTTGCCCTCTAGTTGGTCTTCCTTGTAATCAACTTATCCAACCATGCTTAAGCAACCCTCACCTTCATTATGGAAGCATGTCCATGCATCACTTCTTCCTTAAATTAAGGAGATCTGATACCTCTTCATCTCTTATAAATACCTCTCACCTACATTCAGATAAAGTCAATAACTTTATAACTCTTAGAAACTCTACCCATTTCTATTCTAAAAGACTTTGAGAGACTCCAATATAAGCCCATACTACTGATATCCCTTAGACACAAACCCATCTATCTATATAATTATGTTGAAAACCCAATTTCAAATTGTAATGCACCCTAAAATGAAAGAGGTCCTAATATTGAATTTATTTACATTAGTTGCCATTGTAGGTAAACAACGCATCTAAAGTATCTGACCGTTTACAAAAAACTCAGAACTACCGTTTCAAAACTTTTCAGTTTACCATCATTTCAGCCTTGATCAGTTCCCTCCATTGAAACCACAGATTCTCCACATTAGATTCCCCCAAACCCTCTAATGTCGTTCAAAAACTGTGTTCTCAGGTACATTCCTTTCATCAGCCCAGTCGTAAAGAGAATACGAGAACGACCGAAGCATTCGATTCTGGAGCATTCGTCACCGACTAGCAAGCGTGAGTGGTCTGCCGTCAAATAGCAGGTAAAAAAAGTCTCTTTCTCTCACGTACATGGAGCCCCCATCAATTCTTAGTACTAACCAGAGGAAGATTGGTTATGTACCTACACCAAATTCTGGTCTTGATTTTTGGTTTTTTAAAACCTGTTTATTACGTACAGCCTATTTGGGTATCTGGTTATGTAGTTTTGCTCCTTTTGTGGAATTTTTTTGTGATATGTGACATATTGATCACACTCTTAGTTTGCTAGGTTTTGGCGCACACAACATGTTTGATGAAAGTCCCAGTATGGTTGTTTATGTATCATTTTTTGAGATACTATTGTTATGTATATGTACCTACACGAAATTCTGGTGTTGATTATTTTTCCTTTTCTTTGTTAGATGCTTTCATAGTAAAATGACAAGAAAGAACCTGGGCAATTAATATAGAGTTCTGAACGCTTTTGAGAGGGGTTTGTTTCTTAGGTTGATGAATTTTCTCGTACATCAATTCGTCCAATCTAGGCTGTAGGAGATGTTAGCCTTAGACTGAACCTGACTCTAGTTGCTTTGATGGAGGGAGGGGCATTAGCCAAAACACTTTTCTTGAATGTCCCACCAGAACCTATTACAGGTATCCTAGCTAGCTTGTTAGCCAGCTGATTACACTTGGAGATGTTATTAATTCTAAAGGTGCTCCATAATCTACGCAAGTAGAGTAGGCCCTTCATAAAAGGGTTTAGGATGAGCATTACGTAACAAGTATGATTACTTTCAAATTTTAGATTTATCATTCTATATCCCATCATGTAGATTTTTCTCCTTTCTTATTGTGATGGTTATGTATTGCTTTTGATAACCTGATAACAAGTTCTGTTGTACATGATCCAGTTTTTTTTAGAATAAATTTTTAAGTTTTATACTTGTGTATAGTGTTTGTTAGTAGGAATCATGTGATTGAAACTGGAATTTTTTAGTTTACCTACACTGATTGAAATTGGAATATTCCAGTTTACCTACACGTATGTTGATTTTTGGTGGGCTCATGTTGATTTTTATATAATAATTTACCTACACAGTGGGCTGATGTTGATATTTGGTTCTGTAAAAACTGGTTATGTAACTACAGCCTAATGTACCTACTTATCTCTAATAATGTACCTACTTTTTAGTTTACCTACACCGATTGAAATTGGAATATTCCAGTTTACCTACACGTATGTTGATTTTTGGTGGGCTCATGTTGATTTTTATATATTAATTTACCTACACAGTGGGCTGATGTTGATATTTGGTTCTGTAAAAACTGGTTATGTAACTACAGCCTAAAGGTTATTAAGTTAGTACATTGTGAAACAGGTTAATGACGACCCTGTGTTTATACTATTTTGTGTTTGTAGGTGATATGGAATTGAGCAGGAAAGAGTTTGGAAAAATGCAATACATATCTGGTTTTGGGCCCTTTTTTTTATGTTTTTAATGGTTTGAAAAAGAGTATTCAGGACGAACATCATGAAATTATAAGGAAAACACCATTTGGGGGTCTTTTCAAAGTTTTTGACGAAGGGCTAGTTACTGAAAACATGTGTAAGAAGACATATATAGATATAATCAGAATACTAAAGTGTTTCAACTCTCAAACTAGGGACTTCACAATTGGTGGTAGGCGTGAAAAGTTCATTGGTTTTGATATTGAGGAATTGTTTGGATTGCCATATGCTGGTTGTGTGATAAATATTAATAAGCGGAGTTCAAAAGATGATGTTGATTTTGTGAAAAGGAACCTTCTAGTATCTAAACGGGTTAGCAGGCAAAATATTGAGTCAGAAATGTCTAAAGTAGTTACAAGGAAGACAAAACAAGACCATGAAGATTTCGTATGCCTTATATGTCTGCATTTTTGTATTACTTTGTTGTTCTGTAACAGTGGTAATACAATCTCTTGGAACATAGTTTCGTGCTGTCAAGATGTAAGAACAATATCAAAATACAATTGGGCAAAAGCGACTTCAGACTTTTTGGAAAGGCAGCTTGTGAAAGATTGCGAAAAGCCATCATCCATTTCTGGTTGTGTTGCTGCGTTGCCGGTATGTTTTTTAATTATGATAGTTTTATTATATTTTATTTTTATTTCAATTAGACAACAATTCACTACTCATTGAATGTAAACTAGTTTTGGTTTTGCGAGAAAATTGGGTTCATTGAGCCCTTGAAAGACAGAATGGATGTACCTCCCAAATTTGTTAAGTGGGACGTACAAGACCTGCAATCATCAAGGTGCAACATAGACATTTCTAGTATGACACCAGTAATTGCAAGTATTGGAAATAAAAAAGATAAGGTAATTTAATATTGTGTAGTGATTACAAAACATGTTACTGAAAACACTCGTGTCAATAAGATTATGTTGTTTAATGCAGGTTCTTGAAGAAGTGTGTGGTGTAACGGGTATTGGTTGCTTGATGTCGTCACCTGTGATCAATGCTAAAGAGGTTTGTTACATATATATAGTGATCTTTTTATTTTTATTTTTTTGGATGTACCTGAATTTCTTTTATTGGCTTGGATGTACCTGAACCTGTATGACTAATATTGTGTTTTTTGAGCGTAGGTTGTTGAAGAGGTGTTTGGTGAACCGTCGGATGGATGCTTGACATACAAATCACCTAGTGGTGTCCCCCAAGTCGGAAAGCTTCAGAAAAAAATTTGAGGTCGACACATGTGATCAATGGTGTTGGTGATAAAAAGGTTTTGTACCTGTGTGATCCTTTTTTTGTTTTTCGTTTTGGTGTACCTGAATTTCTTTTGTTTTTGCAATGGACTTGTTTCTGTTTTAACTATTACATTTGTCTGATTACCATCATGATTTCATTTCGTTGTAGATCAGTTATACCAAATTTTTTTTATAAGGTGAAGAAATTATAAGGTGAACAATCCAATCACGATATGTCTTTCCCAATGATGATGGATACCTGGCAAGGACATTGTGTTTCAAATGGTGGAAGCAAAATGCATGCGGTGAATGTGGGAACACGAAGGGTAGTGCTTCAAGCAACCCTTTGTTATGATCAGATATGAATGCAATAGTCCTTCCTTGGGGGTTGACAATTTGTGCAAGATTTTGGAGGAACCAGGTCCAATTTTCTTCATTTTCGGAATCAACGACTGCAAACGCTAAAGGATACATACCTGTTTTAAGGTAAATTAATATTAGATCATAACTCTTTTTTGTACTGGCAGATAGGTCACAAACTGAAATTTGCCTTTCAAGATATGTAAATAGCAACAACAAAAAAGAACAAAAACTGACCAGGTGGGTGCACAATACATTGTAAATAGAATGCCCCAAAATATAAAACACCAATACCCAAAAAATTATCATAGTTTGCCTACAGAGAGTGGCATAAAATTGAATTAAAATTTTTGGTCAAAGCCACTTGTTTCATTACCTTGGTTGCCATTTTTCCCAGTAGCAGCAAGCAAGTGCCCCTTATATTTGTTCTTGATAAATGTCCCATCAAGGAATAATAATGGCCTGCAAAATCTAAATCCTTCTATGCAAGCATGTAAGGAAATGAAAAACCTTTTGAATCTGGATGACTCTGGGTCACACTCCAATATACAACGTGAACCAGGGTTTGAGCTCAACACCGCTCCCACGTACCAAGGTAGGTGTTTATATGACAATGACTCATCACCATGGACCCTTTCTTTGCTAATTCCTTCCCGTACCATGCATTGTGATAAGAAATGTCCAACCCATAGTTTTTCTTGAAATCCTTGACAATTTCGATCGATTTAATCAATGGTGTAGATTGGATTTGGTCAACCCAAACAGAGGACACAATTTTCGAAGACATCATGCTGCTCGTACGTTCACGGATACGTCCTTTGCAAGTGTGTTCGTTGTTCAGGCTCCGAATGTAAAAAAACCCATTTGCAGGACATAATGACGCATGCACACGCCACCTACAACCATTAGACACTTTTTTAGAACACTTGGCAGTCACTCTCTCTTTTTCATTTTTAAGGTACCTAACCTTAAAACCTTCTCAATCGCATACTTGCACAATTTTTCTCTGAACTCAATAACCCCACCAATAAACTTCTACCCACATGATTGATGTAGCTCTTCCAAGCCTGAGACAAGTATGTATGACCAGAAGGTGCTGCATATTTCCCAATGAAATCGTCCTTAGCATTATGCATATTACCATCACCACAAAACACATCATCAACACCGTTTTGCTTTTCAGGAAATAGAAACTCCTTAATAGCAATTGTAATTGTAACTGTATATTTCTCCTCATTCATCAAGGACATATACATTACACGCACATCTAAGTCCGTCTCTAGTACACATGGAGGATGATCCGGCACGAGGTAAGTCATCTCAAACGCCCCCACCTCAAGCTCATTGAATCTTGAACATATATTAGAACACAAGAACATTAAAGTTGAGTCACTTTGAAGTGGAATGGAAACTGTTTTGTCCTTAAACACACATCTTCCAAATACGGCAGGTTCCATTTTTGCTGTAACAAAGAAAGTAATGATTGTTAGTCTCTCTCTTTCATGTACTAATGTACCTACCCAAGTATCCAAGAATATTACATGCAAATAAAAATCATTGTTTGTTGGATAGGTAGAATAAGAATGATGAGAATAATTGACCTAACCAACTAAAAGAAAAAGAACACAACTGTTATGAGTTAGGGGAGTATCTCAAAAATATATAGAAAAAAAAATGTAATTATATATAGCAAAGCCCGTTGTAAGAGATTCCTGTAGGTATGTTTTCAGACTGTAGGTACATAATCAACATTTACCTACATGGTGGCCTGATGTTGATTTTCTGTACTGGCAGGATAAAACTAACAATCACTACACAAGAACTTAAAAATTGATTCTAAAAAAAACAAGATCATGTACAACAGAACCTGTTATCAGGTTATCAAAAAAAGCAAAAATCAAACCAGATTTAAAAACAGCAAAAATCAAACCCATCTATGTTCCTGTAGGTAAACTAATACCCAAATACCCAGGTTTGCTCTGGTTTTGCTCTAGTTTGTATATATGTTGTAGGTCCATAACCGGCCTTTAAAAAACCAAAAATCAAAGCTAGGCTAAAATTGACAAATATTAAAATTTCATTTGTTTTGAGGAAGAGCAAAGCTGATTGACCTATCTTATGAACTAAAACTTAAAATTACAGTTTCTTGTTTATAAACCAAACCTATACACTCTTTCGAGTAATTCGAATTAGTGTATTGTATTGTGCTTATTTCTCATTTCTCTCCTTCCACATACCATGACAAGTATAAAAACCATATATGGTGGTTCATGTATATTTGTTTAATAAAAAGATTTGCTACCAATTAGCATGATTTAAAACTTGATCACGAGGCTAACTAACAATTAGGTTCGGTTGACAAGGCATCCATTATGCATAGTTGTTTTTGTTGAATTTTCAATGGAACATGATAGAGTGCGAAGTATATAAGCTGTCTCTAGGTACATAATCAATATTTACCTACATGGTGGGCTGATGTTGATTTTCTGTACTGGCAGGATAAAACTAACAATCACTATACAAGAACTTAAAAATTGATTCTAAAAAAAAAAACAGGATCATGTACAACAGAACTGTTATCAGGTTGTCAAGAAAAGCAAAAATCAAACCAGGTTTAAAAACAGCAAAAATCTAACCCATCTATTTCGTGTAGGTAAACTAATACCCAGATACCTAGGTTTGCTCTAGTTTGTATGCTGAAGGTCCATAACCAGGTTTTAAAAAACCAAAAATCAAACCCATCTTTTTCGTGTAGGTAAACTATACCCAGATACCCAATTTTGCTCTGGTTTTGGTTAAGACTAACAATGAACGGGGCTCCATATACATAGAGGAGAAAGACGTTTTTACCTGCAATTTGACGGCAGACCACTCACGCTTGCTAGTCAGTGTCGAATGCTTCGGAATTTTCAAATGGAATTTCAATACCTAGAATTTCTTGAACTGCAACAGAAGAAACCCCCCAACCAAATTTCCACCTTTAGGAACCCTAATCAGAACACCAATCTCCCAACTAGAACCATAATCAAAACGTAGGACTACGAAAATTAACCCCATAATCAAAACGGATAATTAATTGAAGACACAAATTCTGGAGAGGATCACTACAATAAATAGGGGGACCAAAACTTCAAACCCCAGCCTCTTATACGCGCTCAATTGTAAATAGGGGTATTTGGGAACTTAAAAATCATAATAAATCAGATATATAGCTTAATAAGGTAATTTGATGAGTTGGATCCTAGTCATGGGTTTTGGTTGATAAAAACAGAGTATTACTTATAGAAGCAAAAAGGGAAGGGTTTTAGGTAACTCAAATTGAATTTGAAGGGGCTAAGACAAATTTTCTAAAAGACTTTCAACTTCACTCTTAGAGAGGGGTGGATGGTACCCCACTAGTGCTTCTTTGGTGAGCTATTCAACCATTATCATAATTTATGTTGCTTGTTGACTCTTAAATTTTTCTCCTAATCTTTTTGTGTTTCAACTACTATCTTTTAGGGAAAATCTATTGTGTCTATTCTTTGTGTTTTCTACTCTTTTTTAGGTCGTTAAAAAATTCGTATGAGACAAATCAATAAATCAAATTGAGGAAAGGAAATATTGGGAAATAAGTCCAGTGTGAAAGCTTTGATTGTTGGAAAATGGACACTTGTGTTGTGCTTTTTAGAGGGAGGTAACTTTTTTCTTAAATTAAAAGAGAGAGGTACATTTTCTTTGCATGAATTCTTTCTTTTTTGGCTATGTGTAACGACGAAGATTAGCATAGTAGAGTTTTGACTTTGGAGAGGGAAGAACTCTTTGATTTTTTATGGTGGATAGAGACCAAAAGGGAATCTTTGGGTTCCTAAAGGTATCTTCGCCAAAATCGGGGTCTCTAAATTTTTAATAAAAAACCTCACATTTTCGATTTCACTCAACCCACTCTTGGGTCTCTTATTTACTTAAGCGAGACACTCCCAGATTTTAGTGCAATTTTTTTATATGGTCATTCATCGAGATTTAAGGCTCTTCACTATTATCCATTGTGAAACTCGTGAAGGTGTTCCATACAACGCCATATTGTTCAACTTAATTGCAAATTCTCAATAATAGGACCTTCACACTACTTTTTTTTGTTGGGGGGGTGGGGTGGTGTGGTGTGTGCGGGGCCCGCCTAGGGGTTGGGGTGAGTGAGGAACAATAACTGGTCTCACCACTCTTCTTTTCATTGCTCAAATTTCTCATTTATAAAAGTTATTTTTCTTTTGTCATTTTTCTCTCATTTCACTTGCACCAATTGTTCATCCTCCCCACTCCTCTATTTCTTTCCTTCTACTCTCTTTTCCTCCCATGTCTATTAATCCTATGTCTCTCTCTTTTCTGTAAGAGATTCCCCTCCCCATGTGAGAGTTTTATTTTGTTGTCCTTCTTTGTTCATGGTTGTCCCACCTCATGTTCTCCCTCAATCGCAACTCCTCCATCATAGCCATGCCTTTGTCTCTCCCCTAGCAGTTGAGTGTTCCAACGACTTCTCCTCCCTCATGCTTGTCCCCATTATCATGATTGATGATTGTGAAAGGACTGCTTAGTTTTAGAAGTAAAGGATCTTTTTAGATCCATTGTTTGACCATATGAGTATGTTACAGTTTTGCCCCCACTCTTGTCGATCAGTCTCTAAGTGTCTTCACGAACCCTTGTTGTTGTAGTTGTTATGGTGGTGCTGATCTTAGCGGCGGTGGGGACGACTACTGGTTAAAGATGACCTTATTTGATAGGGTTAGGGTTTGAGGTGATATTGGGCTGGTTCAGTTTGTTTTGTTTTTAATTATGGGTGGTCACGATCCAGTTCAGTCAAATTTTCCCCTTGAATTGGAATCAAAATCTGAACTTACACATGGTTTGATTTGGTTCGGTGTTTATAAAAAGTGTCTAGAAGAACTTAACCAAACCAGACCTATGCGGTTTTGATTCAATTTCAGTCTGATTTCCGGTTGGAAAGATAAAAATTTGAAGATATAAAGAAAAGAGAAACAGATGTATAGAAAAATATGTACAATGGATAAAATAGGAGAGAAAGAGGTCTAAACAAATATGAATGGAAATATAAAAATAAATAAATAAATAAATAAATAAGGTGGAAAAGAGAGGAAGACAGAAGCACAACAAGAACGAATATAGTTCACATAAAGGAAAAATAAATTAGGCTAGAGCAGTTATCTAGTTTGGTATAAATTGGAATTAAGATATTTGGGTATTAATTGAGCTAAAATATATGGATATTACTTGGAGTTACTAATGTTATTTGAATATTAATTAGGCTTATTAACAATTTTGGATATAAATGAATAAGTAAACTTAACATAACCAGCCATGTTTGATTATGCCAGTTTTTCCATGACAAGAACTGAGACGAGAAGTGATCCAAAGAGGTCCACTTAGGTTTTTATAAGTCTAGGTGGACTTTTTGGTGAACACGAGTTTTTCCCGCTTTTTTTTAAACTTGGTTCACCAGTTCAAATGCCTAGCTTTTTAATGATGTTGGGCTTAGGCTGTTATGGTTTTTGGTTATTGGGCCATTTGTAATATTCTATTTCGGAGTAATGAAACTTATCTTGACTAAAAGAATAGAAAAGAAAAGTGGTGAAAATTAAAAATTGTGGATGTTGTGAAATTGTTATAAAAGGAGTTCGGTATTTAAAGGCAAAATGTGATTAAATTTTGGGTTATTGAAAAAATGGTCATTGGAAACAATTAAGAACATAAAAATGAAAAATTATCCATTGTACTATAATTTTCTTTTTTTGAAATTAGAATTAGGCAATTAGTATGAGTCAAAATTAAGACTCACTCTCACCTTAATAATATTTTAATCTTTACACTGTTACAAGAGATTCAAATTCAAGAGTCATTCTATAGTGAGAGCCTTATATATGGTGTAATAACCCAAACCCAAAATTAATATTTAATTATTAATTTATTTGAGAAAAAGACTAAAATACCCTTAGAATATTTTTATTAGTTTAAAAGTTGACTTTTTGACCGGGAAGGAATTTGAGGATTCCAGTTGTACTGTTGCGTAGAGCGCGACAAAACGAGTCCGGAGACATGTAGTGGATTCAAAACGGAGTTGTAACGAAAGAGTTACGAGCAAAAAAAGTTCAGTGGCATAACCATAAATATCTCGAACTTCAATTTTTATAAACCCAGAATCTTCTGGATTCGGGAGGGGAACGAGCCGACTTTCTGAGCTGATTCCTCTCAGCTCCGACCCCCGATTCAGGCAATACCAGTGCCAAATGAACCACGAAACTTCCCTCTTCCAACCCCAGCCCTTCGCCGCCACGATCCGCCGCCATAGTCGCCGGAAACAGCCACGAAACAGGCGGCGCTGGACAGTTTTTGACAGAACTTCCAAGCGTTCGTTCTCCGTCGTCCGGCCACCAAATCGGACGAGTGAGGTATGGTTTTCTAGCTATTTTTCATGCTCTAACTGCTGGTTGGGTAGGATTTCAGAAATTTCTAGCGTAAATAGCTCGATTTACGAGTTAGGTTTCAGCCGGTTTTCGAGTCACTGTTCCGGCCATTTCCGGCCACTTTTTGGGGTAGGTCCAAGAACAAAAGTGGTTCCAAATAGGGTGTTTTACCTAGGATAGGAGTCTTGAACCGAGATGTTGAGATTTTCCGGCGAGGCGTTATCGCTTTAGGCACCACACGCTGCCAGCGCGTGTGGCGGCGCGTGGGCAGCAGGGTGGGAACCACAGTCAGTCCTAGAATGATCTCCTAGTCCTCACGAGCGCGTAGGATTTCGCGGATCTTAACGTTTGAACCCCGAACGGATCTCGCCTAGTATGCGATTTCCGGGTTCTATACGTTTGAACCGTTGGATCGTAGTCAATTTCAAGTATGTTGATCTAGGTATTTCCAGGATCGTATAGTATTTGACGGATCGTGAAACGGAGTCTCGGATACTTTAGGAATGTCAGCCCTAGAGTGAGGTTTACAGATAATTAAACCAGTTACAAAATAACGAACCAGTTGCAGGTCAAGAACAGAGGAAAGAACTACGTGTGGCTTGATCCCTCAGTAAGGGTACGTAGGCAGCCTATAGTTGTCAGGCGCAGCCACGAGTTAGGCCCTCAGAGTTTGTGTTATCGTTTTTAGGGCATTTTGGTCATTTACGACCCATAGTTACCAGGTGTCAGTTTTAAAAAGGATTAGGCCCGGATCTCAAAGTGGAATTTGGGTCGGGTCGTTTCATATGGCCTTTAGGTGAGGTCATATCTCTTAATCATTGGATCATACTAACTAATTTGATTTAACAATTAACTAATTTTATCTAATAATTAATAAATAGAGTCTCACCTAAGAGCGATTCCACTCGTTGCCTCCAACCAAGGCAGGACAAGGCCCAAGACCAAGCGAGCGCTTCCAGCTAGCCAAGCTTATCCAAGCAAATTGTGGGTCCAGCATAACCGGGCTAGCTCGCAGGCCAAACCTACCCGACCTTGAGCCTGAAGGCAGCTGATGTCATGGCTGACACTAGCACCCAGATTTAAAAACAATTTGCCGTTGGCTTTTGCGTTGCACGCGCCAATGTTAAAAATAAATAAAATTGAATTTCCGTGTGCTGACTCTAGGCTGGCGTTAGCCCTGATGTCCAGCAACGGTAACATGCCACGTGGCGCGTTTTGGTAGCTCTGATAATTTTTTCCCTCAAATCCAACAGTTGTCCCTTTTTTTTTTGGCTTAAAATATCTGGAAAAAAAATTCAAAAAAATTTGTAAAAATTATCAAAAATATTTTATAATTTGTTTCTATAAATACCTACCAATGTTGTTTCACTTTCAACACCAAATCCTCATACATTTTCTTCTCCTTCTATTATTTTTCACTTTCTACACAAAAAAATTTTCACTTTCAATTTTCATTTTATTCACCATCTTTATGGCATCTCTCCACGAAGCCGAAGGGTCCTGGACAAAAAATCGAAGAGGTCAAAGTCATGGCGACAAGTTAAAAATTTAATTGTCTTTTTTATTCAATTTAATTCCTTCTTTTTTATATTTCTTCATTTCAATTTAATTTTTTTTTTATAGATAATAGATTTCAAGGGCGAGGCAAAAAAAAAAAAAAAAAAAAAAAAAAAAAAAAAAAAAAAAAGGGAAAGGGGGGGGAAAAACCATTTCTTTTCATTTACACACATGGGCATGGCTCCACACCCCCAAAATGCCCACAGTCGGTTCCCTTGGTGTGTTCTGTGTCAGAAATAATGGCACTATTACGTCATCTGAAGGAAAATACTCCTCCACGTCGTGATCCGGTGGAACCACCTCAGCTAATGATCAAGTCGTCCTTGTACTCGATTGTGTCAGACTATAAGGACCAAGAGTATTTCAATTGTATAATTAGTGAGTAGGTATTTAATTGTATGATGAGTGAGATGTGAATTTAATAAATATGGACATGTGACAGCCAAAATCTTATACAAAAATTTTATCTGAAATTTGAGATATGAATTTTATAATAAATATGGACACGTGGCAACCGAAAATCTTATTCGAAAATTTAATCTGAAAATTTAATCGGAAATCTTATCTAAAATTTATCCAAAATATGATATGAGAATTTTATATAATAAAAAATGACACGTGACAACAGAAAATATTCTCCAAATTAATTGTTTAGGTAATAATAATAATAATAATAATAATAATAATAATAATAATAAAAGTAAATAGTATTTGCCATTTGTTATGGCAATTGGTGGAAATACACCTTATTTTTAAAAGGACTGTCACTATTCACGTAAATAATAATAGCCATGCCTCCCCTTGCCCTTTGCCATGACAAATGGGTGGAAATGCTCCAATTGCTATATATAAATATAAGGGCAGCACTATAGAATTCTTGTCAAATTCAACTCCAATGAAAGAGCTTCAAGGCCTATTTGCGCCACTACTCTTCGCGTTTTGGCCACGCCATACAACACCCGCATGGACTCTTTCGTCAATAAAATTATAAGAGTACCCTCAAAACGTCACTTAATAACGAATGCCATTCACCGTCTAGTGACGTGGCTTGCTCCCATTAGCGGCTTGCATACTTTATCTCTCAACGCTGTTACAGTGAGCACTGCCACCAAAGCGAATGAAGACCTCTCCATACACCACGTGGCGTAATGTCAGAGCCAGGTGGACCCCGCACCGAATCCTTTAAAATCTCCCAAACAGCGCCAAACCCAAAACCCCTCCTCCTTCTCTTGAACCAAAAGAAAGACGAAAAAAGAAAAGAAAAAAAAGAAAAGAAAAACCCCTCCTTCTATCTCGCTCCCTTCGCTGCGAACGCCTCAGTGATCAGAGGTAAAAATCGCTTCCAGCTTTACCCTAAAATTTGAAAATATCAATCACGATTCTTGTTTCGAGTTTGATTTTGGTTTTTGGGGGTTTTTTTTCAGTTCGATAAAGATTTTATTATCGGTTAATTGATTTTGGAACCTGTTCTCGTGCAATTTTTGATGTTTTTTCTTTGTTACTTTATTTCGAAGTATCATGGCTACTAATGTGGGTTGAACCTAGCTCCTCCTCCAAGGAAGAGCTCCAATGTGTATTGGTTTTTGGGTCTCACACGCACTCTTAGTCTTTACTTTGTTCTTTACTATTTTTTGAATTTTTTATTTATATTTTGTTCGGATGTTTTAGGATTTTAGCTGTTTCCGGTGTGCATTTTTCTGTCTTTGGTTGCTGGGTTGGTCAAAATTTTGCTCAAGAGTCCGGGTTTTTTGGGATATTGAAATTCTGAATTGGAACTTCAGTATGATTTATGATATGGCTATTTTTTAATAGCGTTGAACGATATCTGGGTTGGATTTTCATTGATTTTTTCTTTTTGAGTTCAATGAGTATGTGTTGTGGGGTTTTTGAGTTTTAATGGGGTGTGTGGCTGGCTAATATCTGTATAATATACTAGTTGAAGGACTTATGAGTGTGCAGTCTGTTCGATATTTATTTGATATTTTTGGTGGGTAGATGTAATGTTGTTGATTGATGAATTAAGAGCTTCCATTGGGTTTATGAGCTGCGTACTATCATTTGTTTGGGACTCTATAATGCATTTTGTAAGAGAATGTAGCCTTTGAGGACAAAAATCGTATATATTCAATTCATTGTTTATAAGTATCATATTTGTTCTTGGTAAAATACTTAAACATCTAAATTCCCTGTTAATGAAATATACTGGCATTATTTGATCCTATCTGCCTAAGTCCCTCTGTTTTCTGGTTTGATGGCTTGTGTCCGTAATGATCAGAAAGTTTCAAGCTCCTCACTTTTGTTTTTTACAAGGCTTTGCAGTCAATTTTTCAAAAATCAATTAATGTATATATATTAATTCACAGTACCTTTTTTTATCTACTACTAAAAAGGTCTTGTTTTCCTGTTTTTTCCTGACTTGATTTTGTTCAGATGGCAAATGACATGTTGAAACATGGAGATGATCCCCCTGGCTCTACTTCACCATTACAATGGCTTAAGGAAAGTGAAATCCCTGTTAAAAACAACGAAGTTGCTAACTTCATGGGGACTCTCAACAATCGTAATGCTTCTGGAGTTGATATAACCATGCCATGTACCACAACACCATTCTCTCTTTTTCCTTTTGGAGACATGTATGGAACGACTAACTCTTATGCCATGGAAATGCCGCTGACTGGTATAAATTTAATGACCGATGTCACTCCATTCAGCAACTCTCAGAATCCATTTTTTGACTATGATTCTGTATACGCAGAGGGTCATACACCGGTCCTATCAAGCCCAGTTTCAAATTTTCTTGGTTTGGAAGGGGAAAAAACTGAATTTAGTCAATATCACACCCTTGATTATTCAGTGCCTCCTGATAATGTGGTCAGTGCCAGGTCCAATGTCAACATTATTCAAAATTCTTATGTTGACAGGAAATTAGTAACTGCTAAAGGAAATTCAGCAGCAGCCTTAGAAAGTATCCAGCGGAGTGAAGAACTAAATAGTAATACAGGTAGGCCTCAGCTATTAAGAAATTTCATAAGTGATGGAGTTAGCAATACTGTGCCATGCCATGCCATAGATGGTGTAGACATTGCGCTAAATAACAATTTCATGGCAAGTGAAGTTCAAGAGGATTGTCCAGACAAATTTGATGCAAGTCTCCTAACCCTGGGAATTGGCACAAAGACGGAGGATTTATCTAAATCTAATAGATCAGGAATAAATGTCACTAATAATTTTGGAAGGGTTGCCCTTCCTCAACCAAATACTTTCTATGGTCGAAAAGAAGACAGAGGTTCCTTGAATCCTTCCTCTGATGTGGCTGCTGGTTTCCCTTGTCTTCAGAACAATGTGGGTGGATTTGCTGTGATGAAAAACAATGTGGGTAGCTGGATTTCTTTTAACTAAAATGTAACAGCATATATGATACTAGTTCTAGTTCTAGTTCTAGGTTCATTCTGAATCCACCTTATGTTGTGCAGATGCCACAAGATGATGACCAACATCATTTTCTTATACCGGGAAACAGGAATGTTTGTCTTGGCGTTGAGGGGAACTGGGATACAAGATCTGCATATATTGATCCTCCTAATGACAGTTTTCAGTACAGCCCTGCTGTATCTTTCATACCAGTTGGTAGCAGCTTAGCTGAGCTCCCTGATTTTGGATGGAGCAGGGCAAATGGGTTGGCATTATCACCTTCTTCGAGTACAAGTACTTGTCTAACTGTATCTGAAACTTCCAGGAACCTCTTTTCTGATTCATCCATGGTTTTTCCTCCTATTGGTGTCACGCAAAGCACTACCCTGAACGATGAGTTCGGTAAGTTTGGAATATTCTTACTCTCCTTTTTTGGATGTATAAGAAAATGAAAATTTCCAGTTGCATGTTTTAGTTTCACTTCTATACGGGTGCCTTGATATTGTTGATGTTCAAGAATGGCCTACAAGACAAAACTGTGAGATGTTGGAGCACTGTTGTGGTGCACACTTGGAATCTCGGGTGATAAAATCAAGGTACCCAAAAGAAGCTTAAGGTTTTGAGGGTCCAAAATGTTTTTCTATTTTTCATTTTCTTTATGAACTCAAGGATGAGTTTTTATTGGGCAGTGACCCCTTTTGCATGTTAGTGCCACGTGAGATCCCTTGGCCATTGGAGTAAGTCCTGCATGGAATATCTTTGATTGTTTTCCCTCCACCAAATCTAGAATTCGGCTTACTCGGTGGAGTGTCACGTCATGGTTAGGTTGCCTACCACCGTGAAGTAAGAGAGTGTCTCTTATTGATTGGAGCTGTCCGGTTTCAGGGGTTGGTGGGATGGATGCCATAGAAGTTTACCAGTAAGGTCATCGAATCTGTTTTGGTCACTACCCCTTGAGGTTGTATAAACTTGCTCTGTATTGATCTACTGTCATTCCACATGTCTGACGAGTGTGGACTCTAGCAAGTATGTTACGGAAGACACATGGTACATTACTGTGTGCGGGATAACTAATTTATGGTTCTCTTATGCTAGATTGAAACTATTAGGTGTTAATTGTGATCCATATGAGGCAGGATTCATCATTGTCTCAATGAACACATTTTAAGAATTACAGGCAATGAGAGGACTTTATTGTTATAAAGTTTTCTCTCATCCAAATATCACTTAAGAATGAAGTATAATCATTTCTGTAACAAGCTAATTTGACTTCTATTTTACCATATTGATTGAATATAAAAGAAATGAATTGTGCATTTCACACTTGCTCTTTCTTCTGTTCTCTCTTCTCACATATTGGATATAGTCAACATAAGTTCTCAATGTACTTTGAATATCATGTCTTTCATGGCCCTTGACAGGAGGTCCTTTGCATGGCTGGTTACCAGTGTTCTGTTGGTTACTGCAACTTCTATATGTTTATGTCAATTAGTAGATTTACTAAAAGTTCCATTTTCTGTAGCTTCCCTGCTGACTGACTCTGCAACTCTCTTTAGGGAAGCTTTCCACAGCTAACCAGGGTATTGCTGCACAAGTTGCTGAAAGAGGTCATGTTCCAGGGAAATTTTGGTTTAGCCAGCTACCTAGTAAGGCCACCTACCTATATAACTGGCAATGTTTAGTTGTGAATGTATATGTAACCAGTTCATCCTTTTTTTGAGATTCAGGCTGAAAACACAATATCTTTGTGGACTTTAATCATAATAAGATCTTTAGCATTTCTCATAAAAATAATGTCCTGTCACGAATAGGTAGACAGGAGAATTGGCCTAGCTGAATGTAGTAATCAAGTGTGCAGCTATATTATACACTTGCATAGCCATGTTTTTACTGTCACTTGGCTTCATTTTTAGCTGATTGATAAAAAGGGATTGAAGAACAGGGTAGATGGCTAAAATGATGATTGTGCTAGAGTGTAACTTAATATAAATAACTGATAGGTATCATAAATAGGTATTGTGTACAAGATTCTAATATTTATGCAGAACTCATATTTGTCTAGGACACGACTGGCTGGCACTCAGGTCAACAAACATATAATCTTATGTAATGGAGGGAAGTTTTGTTACACATTTGATGGTTGCTTGCAGGTAATTCTTGTCAACCTCAAGTCATTGGTGCTGTTCAGTCTTCTACAGACCTTTCTAGATCCGTGATGACTGGTAGTTACAATTCTATACTCTTGAGTCTTGACCATGCTTGAATATAGCCTCTGAAATTTTATGCTATTCTCTTGATGACTTGCACTACTTTAGGTGAAGAAGTTCCAATTACCAAACTTAATAGGAATGTTCAGGGTTCTAGTGCTTTGGTTGGAACATCTCTTAAGAGGGTTGCAGAAGAACCCCCAGCAGCGGCTTCCCGAGCTCAATGCAAAAAGAGAAGAGCCCAATCTTCTGTTGGTCCATTTGCTCCAAATTTGCCCCTGCTTGTTCCATCACTACATTTATCCAACGCATCTAATTTGACAGTCCCAGCTCCTACTGCTCCTTCTCTCCCACACCAAGTCAAAAGTACTGCATTACTCCCACCCCTAACCCAGACCAGTCAGTCTCTCCCACTCCAAGCCAAAGGTACTGCATCAATCCAACCCGTATCTGAGAATGCTTCCTCTCTCCCAACCCTAGTTAGACGTACTGCTGTACTCCCACCCTTGTCCCAGATTGCTCCCTCTCTCCCATCCCAAGCCAAAACTATTGCATCACACCAACCCCTACCCAAGACTGCTTCATATCTCAAACTCAAAGGCAGTACTGCGTCACTCCCATCCGTATCCCAGAATGCTCGCTCCCTCTCATCAATGCACCAAATTGTTCCTCCAGTCCCATCTGAAGCCAAAACCACACACCCACCCCTACCCCAGGCTGCTCCAAATCTCAGATCCAGAGCCAGAAGTATTACGTCACTCCCAACCCTATCCCAGAATGCTCGCTCTCTCACACCCCTGCCCCGAATGGCTCCTCCACTCTCATCCCAACCCTCGAGTGCTCCACCACTCCTACAGAAAATTTGGACTGCTAAACCTCTCCCAGAGAAATCTCAGACAGCTTCACCGCTCCATTTGTCTCCCCAGATTGCTCCACCTCTCCCATCCCAGCCCCAGACTGCTTCAACTTTCCATATAAAATGGCAAGGTATAGCTTGATGCTTTTTCCGCATGGACTTCTTTTCTTTAATTTGTCTTTATATTTCTCAATACCTACTTATCTTCTATCACCATATTCTTTACTGTTTTAACATGGCTATTTTGACATGTCATGCCATTTCTAGTGGCTATTTTGACATGTCATGCCATTTCTAGTCCTAGTTTCCACTCAATCCATTGTGGCACATTTCATGGAACATGTCTTGGAAGAATGAGTTGGGTCTAGCCCGGATCCTGTTTGTGAGGCTTGCATGGGCACGTTGGATAATTCTTTGGTTTCAGTTTCTTTTTGTTTTTCCCAAATTATTTTCCCAATGTACTTTCTCAAGCACCTGATCATCCATGAAAAGGATCTTCTGTGCCTCCTACCTAATTCTTCCATTTCTCAAGTCAAGTTTAAAATTGTAGAATCATTCCATGGCATGTCTGGCTCTGGCGTGTCTGGTTTGCCAAGGTTGTTTATGCTCAGACGAGCCTTTCCCTCCAAATTTGGATTCTATGTTCAGCAAGGTTATTTCTGAAATAATATGACACTACAACGTATACTTTCAAGTTTGGAAGACTGCGTCTGATACATCTTGCATTTGTATCATAATGATTTTGATAGTTAGTAATACATTGATAATACTACAATGCACTGATGATGGTAGTACGTCTTTGCCTTTTGCAGGTTTTGGTCAAAATCAAACTCAGCCAATTGGGCACAAGTGTTTGATATGCAAGAGGGATCTTTCCTTCACACCGGAAGGCCCTGTTTTCGTGCCAGCTATTCGACCAGTTGTTGCTGTTCTACCGTGTGGCCACACCTTTCATGACCACTGCTTGAGGCTTATCACCCCTGAAGAGGAAGTTAAAAATCCTCCGTGCATTCCTTGTGCCATCGGTGAGAGTTGAATCTAGGATTGGTTCAACATGTTGAATCCTCCATGCTTTGTGCATTAGTTTTTCAAATATATAATCCGGTTTTTCTCTAAATTCATTTTGAATCAGTCAAAAATAGGGGAAAGGTTTTAGTGAAATTTTAGACATGTTTTTCTATATAGGTTAAGTTCACAAATCTTTTCTTACGGCTGAGGTGGTGATTTGGTCCATAAATATATAGATCATTAAAAGTTGTACATAGCACACCCATTTCCTTAATATGGATCGTACTTCTGCATGCTGTGCTTTTGCCATTGTATGAACTTAAAGTTTTCGTCATATCCTGCCACCACAGGGTTCTAGAATTTAAAGTTTTAGGGCCAAGTATTATATCAGCTATCATGCTCCTGCTGTCCTATTGCATTCCCTACCTCTGCTCATCCTCATGTCACAATTTTGCATGGTTAGCAGCAAATACTGCACTATGACGACAATTTTTGCAATTGATTGTGCACACCAGTACCAGTTCACTATAGTATCATTTAAGGGTAAACTATCGTTTTGCCTCATGAACTATCACATTAGTTTCGATTTACCTGGGAGGTTTTTTTATAGAGATATTTAGTGATATACCCATTTTTAGCAATAATATTATAGATAAACTCTACATCATTGAATTTCTATAAACAAACCCAAAAAATGACAACTGGCCTTATTGAATTTAATATTAATTATTAAATTACTTTGATGCCCTATTGAGTGTTTTGGGTATTTTTTTGAGATTTTGGGGTTGGGTTTGTTTTAAGAAATTGATGACAGTTTTGTAATTTATAAGAAATTAAAAGCCTCTTTGTTATATTGTAAATGGATTTTGGGTGTGTTTCTAAAGTCAATTTCATATAGGGTATTTTTATAATTTGGGCCCCTATATTGAGTATAATAGTGAATCTCCATTTTTTTTTAGCCAATTGAGGACTTGGACGTCATAAAAATAGCCAATGTCGTCACCCTTATGTCAAGTTTTTCGATTGTTTTCCATAAAAATATTATGTGCTTGGCACGCGAGTCATGTTTTTTTTAATCTAAAATTACAAATTAAATTAAAATAAAATATAAAATAAAAAAATGTTCAAGGAATGAAAAATAAAAAAACCTCTCAAGCCAGACCTCCCTCCCCCACCCTCGACTAGATCCCCCTTTCTCAAATTTGGACAAAATTTGGAAGTTGGGCTTCATTTCTTACTCAAACATACCTTGAATTTATTGAGTTATCTAATGAAATCCAATCTTAGGCTCCAACCGTGACCATATTCGGTTCAGAACTATAGTTGGCATAAAATAACCAAGTGCTTCAAAATGGTGAACAAAACGTGGCTGTGAGTTATCCAATCTAATCTGAAATTTTGTTCCAGACAAAATTTTCATATTTCAATACCTATTCCTTATCTTGGCTTTAATGTTTGACCTAGGAAATGAACTTTATGCAGAAGTTCTTATTGAGACATGTCTATTGCAATTTTCAAACCAACCGATCAAATGTATGGACATGTCTATTGCAATATTCAAACTAACGGTGCAAATTTGTATCTGGGCGCCCAATTTATCTAAACACCATAGCTAAAATTTTAAGAATTTTGCAGTTTTCTTTGGACACCCAACACAAACTGAAAATGTTTCAAAATGCCTCTCATTTTCCCAATTCTATAGATTTACCTAAACAACCATTGATTTTACTGTGAAACCCAAAATATTAAAGCAATCTCTACTTCCTTCATTTATTTGGACAACCACCTCTTTCTTTAACTCCCCAACATATCTTCAACAACTGCATTCTGTTTACTTTAATATGAAGCGACTCAAAATTTGTTCAGACTAGCCAGTTTTAAAATGTTGACCTCTTAAGTCCCATAAAACCACATATATAATGTGTTTCTTTGTTTTGTTTTGTTTTTTTTTTTTTCGAAGTTTGGAAGGGGAGAGGGGAAACTCACACATGAGCACCATGAGGACTTGAATCTTTTGAGCAAATTTCTGTACGAGGAAATTTGCGGGTTGATTCCTCAATCTTCGATCTTCCTTCTCTTTCTTCCCCTTGATTCCTGTAAAACAAATCTAGGTCAACGGACCACACCCGGGGGGTGTTGGTCAAAGGCCCTCCAATGCCTAAGTTAGTTTGATTGGATCTTGATAAAAATATGATAATAGCCAAAGGTAATGGAATTTTCTCTCACGGGGAGAGTAGGGTGTTTGGAGCCGTGTGATGGAGAGTGTAGAGAGAGGGGGATGGCGAGAGAGAGATATATATATATATATTCGGAATTAGAGAAAAATTTAGAATTACCTTGAATGCCTTGTGTAGCCATATATTTATAGGCTCCATGTATGATAGGGTTTTGGGAGAATAATCCTTATTTGGTTAGGATTATTCTTACCCAAAAAGAAAATAGAAATTAATCCAAGAGATTTGGTGGAAATCAGTTCCTTGATTTAGGGAGATATTCCTCTATTGAATCAAAGATAATTTCCCTAAGGAATATACCTTTTCCACATGTTGTCTTCTTATTCCTTCTCCACGTGTTGTACTTCTTTTTTTTTGGGTAGCACTGGAACCGAGACCACGAAGTCTACACCTTGATGCGAGCTGGACTGCGTCATGAGCTAGTATGACACTGGCGCTTGCGAGGTCTAGGATGCTTCTACAACATTTGTCAACCATTGTCGGCGACTGTCAGCTACTCGTATCTGATGCCCTTTTTTGTTGTTGCAACTTATGGTTTTGACATGCTATTTAACTTGCAATTTTCTTCCCTTTTTGCAACTATTCAACAATCATATCTTCTGATGAGAGTAGCCGATCACCGAGTTCACAAGTGCCTTTGTACTTGTGGGTGGTTCCAAGGTGTACAAGAAAAGAATTGTGACGAATCTGCATCGTGTCATGACGGATGCTTACTTTCAGAAGTAGCACGCCACCTATGCTTCTGTCATACTTGATGATGTGCATGTTAGGCTGGCGGCGCCTTTAACCAACGATGTACCTCGCATGGGTCCGAATGATCTGGATGCCAGGATTATCACATTCCATCCCTTCTACTTCTCCTTGGGCTTCACATTCTTATTATCGAAGTTCTTCAAGAAGGTGTTTTGTGTTATGGAGTGTGCCCCAAGCCAATATACTCCAAATGTCTACCGAGCAATCATCTATTTTGATAATCTAAACCGCTTTTTTAAGCTGGATCTGATGGTGCGGTTGTTCTTTTGCTTCTTCGAGGTGGGGCGTACTTTGTGGCATGCCTATGTGTTGGAGGTGAGCGGAAGGTGGGAATGTGAGGTTGGCGATGGTTTGTCATACTCTATTGATCTACTTCAATTTTATTTGAATTCTTTGATGTGTGACTAACTAACTTCTGTTTTCTGCTTGTAAAGAATGATATCAGCAAAAAACTAGATCTCGAATCGGACATGGTTACAGTCTGCCGGGGCTTGAACATCCCCACAAGGTTTTGCTAATGACGTTGGCTGTTGAGCAAGTATCGGAAGAAGGCTGATGGTCTGCCCCCTGCCAAAGATATTGAGTTATGGAAGCAGTATGGCTCAGACTCGAATGATTAGTTAGCCGAACGGGTCAGGTCCTCCAAAGATAAAGTTGCAACCTTGCAAGCAAGAGGTGTGTCTCCTGCTAAGAAAGAAGCTGAGACTTTCTTCTGCTATGATTAAGTCTTCTTCTTCGAGAGGTCTTGTCTGTTGAGAAGACTTAAGTGGGAGCTGCTCCTCCATCATCTGCCAGGGTCAAACACCTTGTCGACGTGGATAGCAAAAAGATTGGTGGCATGCAGAATGTTTAGGAAATTCTTCACAAGTCTCCAACTGACATGCTCAAAACCTGCAATTTACCCTGCAAAGAAGTCTGTCCTAAACCAGTTCACTTTTTGAGAAACAAAGGGCTACTGACATTCCTCACTGAAGTTCGAGTCGTCTACACTAGTCAAGGAATGAGGATCGAACTAGGAGGACCGCTCTTATATCTAACAATTGTGATCCATTTGCCAAACCACAAGCAATCAAGCACAGAGCTAATTCAGCATCATTTAATCTTTTAGAGGTGAGGATGGTTGTAGCTAAAAAGGGTAGAGAGTCGTCTGCTGGGGCGAAGGGTTCTTCGGATATGAGAACAGCTGGTCCAAAGGTTGACAAGCCCAGCTCCACAGAGGATACATGTGTGTATGATTTGCTCAATTAGGACGCTTATGGCGACCTTCTTGTGTCTCCCTTAAGACATTTTTTAGATGGTAGCTTTTTTGGCCTACGTCTCCCTTAGGACGTTTTTAGCAATTGTCATGCGTTTCTCTCTTTGGTGAAGATGAAAGCTAGCTCCTTGAGGCTGCTGATTGACCCGGATGACAGGGTATGAAACCAATTATGGGCTGCTCCTCCTAAGGTTATTGCAAACACCTTGCACATCAGTTCATCCTTGGCCTTGTAGAGAATCATAACACTTTTAAAGTGCTTCAAATGACTCTCGAGATTGGAATCCCTTTTGAAGTGTGTGAAATAAGGCATTGAGAATCACTTTGGTGGAGCAGCTTGCTCGATCTCGACAGTGAATGGTGAGGAGTTCACTTGGTCCACCTCCTTGCGCATAACATCTTCGAAATCTCCTCCAATCTTTAAGTATCAAAGTTGGTCATTCACGAGTTTTTTGACATCTTCTATTCACATGGCCTGCGGTTCACGTCGGTGTCCTCCATTATGTAGGCGTCGCTAGTTTACCTCATCGTTGTCTCTACTGAGCAAATCTCCTTGACCGTCTTCCTTGCGCAACGTGTTGGTAGACTGAGCTTGCGAGCGACCCTCTGTAGCTTGTCATCGTGAGTTGGCTCTTTAGGATCAAGTAGGTGACCATATTTCTTCTCGTACTTCATGGAGATTATCACGAGGCTGATCTCCTCGAAAGCCTAGTCTCGCATGAATACTTCTCTGCGAGTTTAGGCAAGCGTGAACATCAAATTGTGGGCTCAACCTCTCGTGCACATTGATCTTTGGACTTAATCTTAATCGGAGACTTGATCTACTTTGAGTGGGGCTCATAAATGCTTGCAACATGCTAACGTGCTAAGCACGCTATTGTCTTTCTCCTTGTCTGCTTGCTCTTACTGGACTTGCATAGGACCTCTCGAATTGCATACAGGTGCATTCATTCATCCTCCTCTCTTCGTCATGCGGTTTAAGGCCAACGTCTCGGACCAAATCAATTTGGTTGAAAAGTTGTCCAAACAAGTTGGTTTAGTAGTCTAGTCTTTGAGCCAGCTGGTCAACTCTAAGGCTGATGTCTGCTTGACTTTGTGGATCATGAGGAGAAAATTGTGTAGAGCCCAATTGCACACGGGCTAGGGTTTCGTTAGAGGTATACACAGGAGCATACGTTGAGCATGGCAGCAAATGAAGGAATGAATGAAGTTGTTCCACAACGAAGCTCAAGTTGGATGTGACACCAAAATGGTCATGAGCGGCAATCTCGAGGACGGAGCGCGCGCGACACCATTATGGTAGAGAGCATTAAATTTAGCCATGAGGCCGAGTGGATGGCGGCTGCTTTATTCGGCGGTGTAGCTATGTGGCTACAGAGTCGTGGCAGCCATGGGACTGAGGAGGCACGGCAGCGAGCGTCTAATAAGTGTTCTGGGTCTCAAGACTAAGTGCAGGAGTGGCGATGCACATCACAATCAACTAGGGTTGTGGCAGTAGCTAGAGTGCCTGGAGCCACGACGTTGTGGTTACCCGAGTCTGTCATGGATTAGGTTGTTGTGGCAGCCTAACTTCTCGTTCACATGCTTCCAACCATGGTTGTTTGGAAGACTTCAGTTGAGCGATGAAAAAGAGGAAACATATTCCTTTGATTCAAGAGCACATTTTGAGTATACCTCGTGCTCTCAATGAAAGCACCAAAATGTTTGAGCAAAATTCAGCATGGGGAATATTTGCAGGTTGATTCCTCGACCTTCGATCTTCCTTCGCTTTCTTCCTTGATCCCTGTGAAATAAATATGAGTAAATAGACCACACCCATGAGGTGTTGGACGAAGGCCCTCTTATGCTTAAGTTAGTTCAATTGGATCTCGATAAAGATACGGTGGCTGAAGCCATATGTGGTGGCACTTAGCCATGTGAGGAGGGGGAGAGAGAGAGAGAGAGAGAGAGAGAGAGAGAGTGTGTGTGTGTGTGTGTGTGTGTGTGATTTTTCTGGGGTTTTTGGAATTAGATAGGAATTTAGAATTACCTTGAATGTGTTATGTAGCTATGTGTCTCTTTATGTGCTAGGGTTTTGGGAGAATAATCCTTATTTGGTTAGGATGATTCTTTCCCCAACAAGATGATAGGAATTGCTCCAAGAGATTTGGTGGAAATTGGTTCTTTGATTTAAGGAGATATTCCTATCTTAAATCAAAGATAATTTCCCTAATTAAATAGAATTTAATTAGTGTTATAGTTTACCTAATGAATATTCATTTTCCACGTGTCATCTTCTTATTGGCCATCGAAATATATATATATATATATATATAATCCTAGTCCAAGCATATACCAAATATAGGACGAATCTTATCTAACTTAGACCAAGCCACGCTAATCCAAAACAATTCCTAAGCATAGTTCATTCCAAAAAAGTCCGTCGTTACACAGGAAGCCCCATAGTTTATCCCATATGTATCTATTTCAAGGAAACTGACCTGCTGTGTCACAAACCACAAAATCAAACCCAAAACCAGCCCAAAGTCCATAGATCCAACCCCTTTGAATATAGAGGGCCCAATCATCAAAGTGAGGAGCATAGTTGAAGAAAAATGCTCACGCACATAAGGATATGCTGTCTCTCTCTGTCTCTCTCTCCCTCTCTAGAGAAACAAAACATTTTCTCGTTTTAAATTCTGATAGGTTTTGGCTGAGATTTGTGGGAGGACTTGAACAACAAACGTGGGAATAAAAAACAGGTAAACCAAATTGACCCTCTCATATAATTTGTTAAAATATTATATAATAAAAGTATTAAAAAAACATTATAACCATGCAAGAAAATGAGAGGGACCCAGTTGCAGAGAAAGGGACAACTGTTAGCCTCAAATCTTCCACCAAATGCCAAATCTCAACCGTCAAAATACCCACATGGTCCCCTCATTGTGTTGATCGACCCAACATTTTATCTCCTCGGTCTTCTCTTCTAGGTGAAGAAACATAAATCAAAAGAACAAGAAAAATGCTGAAATAAACACAACCCAACAACTAGAAAAAACTCTCTCTCTCTCTCTCTCTCTCTCTCTCTCTCTCTCTCTCTCTCTCTCTCTCTCTCTCTTGTTTAAGGAATCAGAAACCAAGTTAAGGTGGGGGTTTAATTGAAGCTCTTTCTCTTTCTTCTTCTTCTTGTTAATTTCTGTTCCATGGAAGGCCAGATTACAGATGGGAAGAAGGCTGATGGAGCTTTGGAAGGATTTGCTCCTCTCTCTTCCACAAGGATTGATTGGAAACCCAGAAAGAGATCAGGTAGTAAGTATAATATATAGCTCCTCTGTTTCTCTTTCATTCTCTCTCTCTCTCTCTCTCTCTCTCTCTCTCTCTCTCTCCAAATTTTCCCAATTGAGAGTTCACCAATTCATTTGAATAATTTGAGATTTGCTTTTGGTGATGTTTGCATGATTTAAGACATACCCACCTACCCAATTATGTACAACTTAATAGCTATCATAATTCCTATGGATGTTCTTGAGGCTTATTGCATGGTTTCCCAAAATTTTATTTTACATTTTGAAGCTAAATTCCAGCATAATTCCATCTCCTTCTCATTTGATCATATTATCATTTCTAAACAATTTTGAGCTGTCACTAAAACTTCTATTTTAATTAAAGGGATTAAAAAAATAACACGGAGAGAGAGAGAGAGACGTAAAATTAAACTGCTGTTAGGAGGTGCTGACTTTGCTCATACGTTACTTTGCTGGGGTTGGTTTGCTTAAATTGCTCTCTCTCTCTCTCTCTCTCATAATTATATGTATTTAATTATATTTTTCTTTTCATTTTTGGCCTATAATCTTCTGTTGTTTTCACGCTTTACTCTTGGCCTTTGGTTTTGTTTTTATTTTTTCCAAAGAGTTTTTTTTTCCTTGACTTTGAATACACAGCACAGAATATCTAATTTTTTATTTACCCAAAGGTGACCATACTTTTTATTTCGTAGAAAAATGCGACCATACTTTTCTCTGGTCTTGGCGTATGGACAAGTTTGAATGCTACATGTGGTATGGGCTCCATGTCTCATCCAAATTTATAATCTAAACCTTATTATTCCTGATCCTATGGCATTTCATTTCTTGGGTTTCGTTCTTTTTTTTTCAGTTCTAATAATTTTTTCGGCTAGCATCTTCGAATTATTACTACAAAAAAAAAAAAAAAAAAAAAAAAAAAACAAAAGATTGCATTAAGTATTGCCATTATTGTGCTAATTTTTGTTTTTGGGTACTGCTCATAATTTGGCACTAGGTTTCAAGTTCCCAATTCTTTGGAAACGAAAATGAAAATCTGTAGAAGTTCTTCTGTTTACACTTGTTCATGATGTGACGCTTTACCAACCTTTGCTCATTATTATAATATGAACCTCTTTTCTTGTCTTCTTTTCTTGTTTTTCTTGTTTTTCCTGTTTTTCTTTTTCAAGTGTCTTGTTGGTTGGGATGCATGATTGCACTTGAAGTGTGATTTCCTCCAGTGGCTGGGGAAGAGGAAAAACCCTTTCTCCTGTTCCTGTTCCCTGTTTTACGCAACCTTTTTTACTTGTAAGGTTCTATTGGATTTTTTATTTATTTTATATCTGCTACATTATATCCTCCCCCTGTCGATCAAATCATCCATTTCAGTTTCCAATTTGAAGTCTTTCCAACACAGATTTTGTATTATCTTCTAGGTTCATCTTTGATTTAGTTGTTAATTAATCGCCTTTTGGCCGAGCACCTTATTTATTTTAAGAAGGATGGAAGGAAGTCCAGTCCCAGCATTTGTAAGTTGACGCACAACGGTAAAGACAATCCCAATTTAATTGAAATAGTCCAGTTTGGGTCGAGCCACCAAACGAGGCCAAAATTAGCTTCGAGGGTTTTTCTTTTATTAAGAATATGCCGAGTGTCAAATTTCATCTGTCTCTTTAACTGCATTTCTTCCATCATCATTTTACTGAACTGATGGACATGGCTGCAATTATGCATGGTATGCATGTATTCTATACTTCCTCAATTTTGTGGAGTGAAATGGCTGGTGCTATTGTACTCCACATATCAGTCAGTGCCTTCTCATCCTACATATCCATTGTGGTTTGAACTTTTGGTGCCTCCTTATTTTACAAATCTGCTGCATCTATCTCTAAATTCAATAGCACTAGAAAGTGAACTTGTTTCCCACAGCTAGCGGGAGGAATGTAGACAAGATAACAGAAGATACTGCTAATAATACTCCCGACAAACAGGAAGAGCCCGTCACTGAGGAGGAGATGCAGGACTTAGCTCCAGCACCTGAGCTTTCTGAACGTCGAAAGGCTCTTTTTGAACCCTTAGAACCTATAACAAATATCAATGGGAAGCGACCGTCGGCTGAATCCTTACTTCCTCCGCCAGACTTTGATGCCACAGCCTATCCTAAGGGGTGGCTGATTGGAAAAAAGCGAAAGCTAGTCAATGTTGACGTGGTTGAGAGTATGCGGAGGATCGCTGTGCAGGAAATGAACAGAAAGGTGTAATTTCTAAACACCTCACCTTTTTCTCCTCTATTAGATTTGGGTGTTTTTTTTTTTTTTTTTTGGTTGAAATTTTTTTTTATTTCTATTTTGGTTAATTCTTCAGGATAGGGAAATTGATGGGCTAAATGAGCAATTGGAAGAGGGATGCAAGGTGCCTAGAACACTTGCAACTTCAGCTCCTGCAAGAGCGAAGCAAACGGTCGGAGGTGGAGAGAGAAAATGCAATGCTGCAAGACCAGGTCACCATGCTAATGAACATGCTGGGAGAAGATGACCCTGTGGATGATGAAGGCCCCGACGCACCATAACTGTTTCTTTATTTGGTTTCTTGAATTCTTTTTGTACATTTGGTTGGAGAGAGTAGAAGTAATAAGAGATGCACATATATAATATGCAGTGCCAATGCTTGCACATGCCTATTATAAAATTGTGAGTCTTGCAAAAGTCATATACCAAAGTAAATATTGAAACTATATTTGTCTTGGATAGTTTAGTCTATACTGTCAAAGAATCGAACAACATTTCATTCTATAAACGGTTTGAAGTATTTTGGTTTGTAGTCTTAAGGAGCAGCATGGCAAGCAAGCTGGTTAATAATATCAAATCAACCTATGAGCACAACAGCGTACACAACTGGTATCGCCCAAGGTGTTGATTTATTTTCCCAAATATTCACAGACGACAAGACTAAAAGTCTTCACAAAACTCACATGGCTATAAAAGAACACTCCATCATTATACACAAAGGTTGAACAAAACGCAGAGGGACTACGGCAGTTTGCAAGAACCAGGTCCACGTTATCAACGTATTAGGATTCTTCATCAACATACATTTCTGAATCCCTAAGCTGTACACGTTTTAGGAACAACCTGCAACTGTTGTATTCACAGATGTGAGAACCGACATAGATTTCTACGTTTTTGTACAGGACTACACGAGGGCCGTAGATGACTACTCTCTAGCTTGATTAAATATCATAAACTTATGACCAGTTAAAAAGAAACTGAGGAAGGGATGCTATCCTAGGAATATTTAGAAGAAGCTCCCCAAATGAGTCCCTTCTTGGCATCGTCAGTTCCTGCTTATTGTCATCATCATTTGGAACAGCACTGGACTTACCTTCATTGGACTCGTCCTTAGGTGCAAGAAAACCATCTGAAACCTTACTCTCATAAGCTGATGCAGATGCGGAGTTAGTTTCAGCTGTTTTCCCATTATCATTTACATCAAAGCAGTCATCAGTTTTGGCTTGCAAGTTTAGTGTTGTAGAAGGATCCTTCTGCAAAAGGCAATAAAGGGAATTGACCCTTGACATGACGTATTGCTCATCTGAGGGTAAGGTGAATTGCGAGTCATTGAACAAGTATTGAGTAATCTCCTCCAAAACATCTCTGCTAGGTTGCTCCTTGCCAGATATCTTTCCAGAAATGCATTGTCCAATGTGGCTTACGAAATCGCTCATTGACATCGACATGGGAAGTCCAGGAACTTTCATTTGATTAAAATTGCTGGGCGTCTTTGAGGTTTCAGCTCCAAAGCTCCCAATTTTATCAATTGCAGGGGTGTCCATCACTACAAATAGAAGACAATTTAGACCCACAACAAATGTGATGCAATGCCCACATACCAAACTCAATTGTAATACTTCCACATCATAAAATATGGAGTAAATATTCATAAAATAAGGATAAACAGGTTTATGTGACATAGTGGAACTGATAAACCAGATACAAGAAGGCCACATGCTTAAGTTGAGCAAACATTGACAACCTTCATCGGACACCAATTCCGACAGATTAAGAGGTCGTAGCAAATTGTCCCACTAGCTATGGTCTCACATTTGTGCCAGACTTTATATCACATACATCAAACTTCGCCAAAATAATAAATAAATAAAAAGAAAAAGAAAAAGAAAATCACGTCATGAAAGACAGCTCTTTTTGATATGACAGTTACTCACATGATTCCTCTAAAAAATAAAGTGTAAAGGGGTGTTCTATTCACACCGATTCACACCGCACCAAATGCTGACTAGACATAGTCAGCATGATAGGAGAACGTTTGCAAGTATTATGTTCAGTATGATTTAGATTTGAGTCAGTTAAATAATGCTTTTCATTTTATGTTCTCAAGTGCCAGTTTTAAGTCCTGATCCATCTTAACCTTAGCACCAGAGGCCTGCTGTAGATGAGGCTTATCAAACCAAAGGGACAATGATAAATGGACTTCATTCACAAATAATTTTCAGTTTCTGACTAATTGTTTTAAATTGGACACACAAAATAATTTCTAGTGTAAGGAATCAGCAAGTGATTCTATAACTGTTCAAGTTATTTACACAATGACTATTGACTGCTTCTGACTCAATATTTTAACAAAACAAGAAAACAGAACTAAATTACATGGGAATGAAATCTTGAGCCCAAAAAAATAAGATGAAAATACAAGTCATGGGAGATTGGGACATGGGATTAATTGTGGATGAACAGTCCATTCAACAAGGGGATTCTGAAATTTCAGAGGTGTGCAAATTTTTTTAGCAAAGAAATTTAGCAACTTCCTAATAATATAAGATGAAGGCTTCAATTGTTATATCAACGAGCTTTGACAATAAAGAAAGATGATGCATGGTTAACTATTTATGACCATATCTACCACACTAACTCGTTTTATCGTTTGCAGATTTACCTGAGCTAGGAGATGAAATTTCCTGGGAATAATTTTCAGGACCTCTACCAATAAAATCTCGTTCATCTTTACACGGTGGCGAGTGAGTTCCAGAAGGTGATGCTGAATCCTGCAAACCAAATATAGCAGGCCCCTCCTCATTTTTTGGACCAAACCGACGTCCATATTCATCAGGGTCACCTGATACTGTAACTCTAGCATCGAAAAATGGAGATTCTAACACAATTTCGGGCTGTTGGCTTAAGAAGTTGAGACGAGGATCACACTGAATAAGCTTTTCGAAATGCTTGCCAAAAAGCAAGCCTTGTGGGCACTGCAGAAAATGGCGCCTAAAACAACACAAAGGACAAAATCACATTACAGATTTCGAACACAAACAATACCAATTAGAAACATTATGCATAATAAGTTACAAACTACCAGATCAACCTTGTAAAACTTCCAAGTCTTACAAAAGCATTTATAAGGATTGCTTAACCATAATTTCTAGAACTTTCTTTTTTTTTTTTTTTTTTTTTTTTTTTTTTTGTGCATATGATGTGCATCTTTGTATGTTCCTTATATTCCAATCATTTAAAGCCCCAGAAAATTCAACAGATATATGTTTCGATATCTTCTATAAAGGTAATATAATATATTTTGTAACAGTTGATTGCTAACGAGAAACCTCTTACTACTTGAGCAAGTAAAATACAATCCCCGACTTTAGCTTGTGCCAGTTATTAAGCACATACGCATGTATTCCAAATTTTACAAGTGGGGGAGACAGACAGGTAAACCAGTGGAATTGCTGAGATGGTGCTGTTCTAAAATATATCGTAAGGGGGAAAATGATATCTAGCATGTTGCACTATGGCAAGATATGACTGAGGAGATTCTTTGTGTGATATAATTGTTCTGTACTTTAAATAAATTTTGACCTCATCATTCTAGTTGGCCAACCAAAGATCTTACCTTGCTTATAAGCTTCTCAAATTCTTTTAACAGTTCTCATAACTATAGTAACTACCCCACACCACTGATGTTTTTTCATAAACTGGAAACATTGCAACAAAGATTCATGCTCAAAGCCATTTATAAATTTCAGTAACTCTATGAATGACTACAAGGTTAGATATTTAACCTGTTTAAAGTGGCCTGCCCAGCAGTAAAATCTGATGTTGCCTGCCACAAGGTATGTTTCCTAGGTTGTGGATTGGTCTCTCTAAAGAAAAGAGGCGGTCTAGCAAGCTGCACCAGAAAATATATTAATCTATCGTAAGAAACCAGAGCATTAGACCCAAAAAAAAGCATAGCATATAATGATTTTGAAATACTGTAATTCCTTTATAGAAAAAAAAATTACACAAAAACATGTAAACAATATATTACCACAACATCCAAAGTCCCTGGTCCATCATCTGGGTAATTTGCCTTGAGAGCCACAACATCTGACCACTGAATTTCCATCTTGTTCTTTAGACTACCATCAAGGACTTCCCACACAAGTTTATGCTTTGCAAAATAACACTTTGCCACTAGATCTCCTTCATATCTTGACTTATACTGCAACCCCAAAATCAATAAAACTTCAAATCAACATCGAAGCATATAGCATCAAATAAAATTGAATACAGAAAAAAACTGTCCAATTTGGAAAACAAGAGTCCATAGAAAATTGTGGGCTATACCTCCCAAGTCCCAATCCTTAGAAGGGAAGCCGGGAAATTCATAGCCTTGAGCTTATCCGAAGCACCGGAAGCGGTAGTTCCCTTGTGACCTCTCTTGCCTAAAGTAGCCAATTTAACAGAGTTTTCTTCAGATAGCTTCATTTGGATCAAATCCAAAAAAGATGGACTTTTTTTTAGATGTAAACCGAGCGGGCTCGGTTCATCCAGGGGATGGTACAGCGAAGGAGGAACTTCAAACTTGCCAGGCCCCAAACCCAACTGCTAAGACCACCCAAACATTATGAGCAGAATTAGCTACAAAACATGAAAAATATATCTTCTTTCTGAAAACGACTGCCCAATCTGTTTGGTCGCTAAGAATGTGCAGGAAATGCACATAATTCAATTCATGCTAATGGATATCACAAAATATTGACGAAATCAAACTATCATAAACCATAAACAGAGTATCAATTGAAAAACCACATAACATGAAATCAAAAACTGAAAAGAGATGAACATGAACCTGTGGAACCGAGTCGAGTTTGAGTCGCTTGTGAATTGGACCGAGTTGGGTGTCGAACGACTCATCGGCATCCAACTTCACCGCAACCTTTCGCGGACTCATTATTTGAACCATCGGCTCTAGCTTCCAACCCAATCGACAAATTTTCACAGCGAGTCAAACAAGACGAACCCAAAAAAAGTCACCGAGTGAACTCAGCGATTTTCGCAGCCTGAAATGTTTCCACAAATTTGCGTCAACGAAACAAACCCGTTCGGCTGTCTTTCCTTTCCTTTTAACGCAGAGAAGAAAGAAGCCTGTGGAAGGCCGTCACGTGCGTTCCACGTGACTTCAAGAATCGCAACGTGCACGAACAGAAGTAAATTGGACCGGAAGTTACGTAAATACCCTTAATATCAGGCGGTAACTGTACACTGGTAGGCGGCCGACGGCGGCTGATGGCGTCAGCTGATTTGGCGGTTTTTGGTCTGGGAACGAGGTCACGTGCGCGCAGGTGCGCGGGTTTGGATAAAATAGTGGGGCCCGCGTCGCGAAGCTTCTCAACTAGGCGCGCGGTTGTGCCTGGTGATTGGCCGGATGGTGATGAGTGAGTCCAATGTTTTGACACGTAAGAATTTGAGTCGACGGGGAGTCTGCTGACGTGTCCTTGTGGATAAGCTTCAACACTTGTTTGTCAAACTTTCCTTTTTCTTTTTCTTTTTTTTGTTTGTTTTTCTTTTTCGGCAAATAGATAATATAATAAATGGGATATAGACTTACTTTCAACGACAAGAAGATATTTTACTTTTTTAAGGAAATAATTAGACGTTAAATTTGAATTCGATTGCTCAAGTGACAATCTAATACTTTGTTGAAATTTTCAAATCCACCTAAAATGTCAAATACTATATTATTTATTATATTATATTTTTTAAAATAAAATGACCTACATATGATGAATAAAGCTTTAATGGATAGTAAATTAAGGTGTGATCTAATGCAAAAAAATACAAATAGCATTTGACATTAAGTTTTATGGGATGCCAATGTGGACATCAAGCTTCATGCATGCCTCCAAATTCGTGTAGGACTTGACTACAATAATTTTCTCATGTAGTTTTTGTCATTTCTTGTTTACGTAGCAATTTAACATGTCGGTTGAAGATGCTCTATCTAATCGTGTGAACGTGTCAATAAAGATGATAATTAAATTACGTTACATATAGCACATTAGTAGTGTGTATGTGAGAAACCCCCTCCCTTTATAATTTAGAAATCTCATCAAACGAAGATAATTAAAATCTATATATAATATACATATTTTTTTTGTTAATACTTATTCTTTTTGCATTATTTTATCATTAAATTGTACCAAATTGGAAGAACTTATTGGAAAATAGGTCAATTTATTGCCATAGTTTTTTTATATATTTAATTTTTACATAAGTGATATTGGGGGAGAAGGGAGCTCGATGTCATATCGAGCTCAATTATTTTTTAGCTCATTAGTAAAGAACCAAGCAAAACAGAGCTCGAACTCAGAAAATGTGACCCGGGGAACTTCTATGATTGCAAGCTCTTCTTCGAGACTAAATGTGACCAATGGGAATACTTTCAAGATAAGAGCTTCTCGACAGACACTCAACTAGAAATCCAATAGGCGTATCTAGAGGCTCTTCTTCAAAGTACATTCTGGTTGAGAACACCTAGACTTGCCATTTTAGAAATCTCATCAAACGATAGATTTACTTCTACTTGTAGATAAGTAGTAAAATGAAGAAAATATGCGATGTGCAATAAAAATTGTAACTTCAGTGTGAGACTCATTTCTATTATTGAGATCCTCTATTTATTGGGTTAAATTCATTCATCACCAAGGTAACCAAAGTTAACATGAATTTAAGTTCCTAATTTGAGGCAATATCATGAGAGATAATGATTTATCTTGCACTGCAATCTTCCTAAGAGTATTACTAGAAGAAGGGGCACTTTCTGGTCCTCATTTCCCAGTACCCAAAAAGAAAGGAACCTTTCTTCTCCCCATCCGTTTCCGGTTAAGAAAATGTGAAAGCGCCTCTCTCTCTCTATATAAATATAAGAACAGTGCATTCCGAGGTGTGAAGTGGGAGAGAAGGGATTTCATAATTGGATTGGGGTTTTGAATAAGATGACCTTTTCATTTTTTTTTCTTTTTGAAAAAGTAATAAAAATGAGAGGTGTTAAGTTTTTTTATTGTCCTGGCGTCAAGTTATTTTTCTGCAGGACCTCCCCTACAGTATCGTCACCACAGTGGAGTTTAACCTCCAAGCTTGGGATGGATTGGTGTGGTTCCTCTATGCCTAGAACACCAAAATATTGAACCATGAACAAAGAAATGCATGAGAGAAAAGCATAACCGAACATGAGAATGAACATCTTTCATTCACGTCTCCTAGGATTAGATGTAGGAGTTCCACTCCCAATAAGTTTACTGTGCAAACCAAACGAGCCTTTAGGACTTTATTTACTGATCTTGTCGAGTTTCATACTTTTATAGGTCTCTTGGCTGATCCAATCATTAGTGGCCCAAATCCTTATAACTTCAAGATTACTCTATCATATGACAATTTAACATATGTTTCTTTAATGAGCTAACTCTCGCGATATTGTGATGGTGGAACAATATCATCATATTCCGGTCATTGGGTCATTTGCTAACTATATTGGGCCTTAATCTAACCATTCTTATCAGCCCAAAGGCCATGCTTTTTTTTCTTTTATTTTTTTTTAAAAAAAAAATTTTTAAGGAAAATATTCAATTACAAACATAAACCTCGAGAGCATGCAGGCCCAAACAAATCAAAGTAATAAAGGAATGGAACAATTCAAAGGGAAACCATGCTCCCAAAGCTTAGAAGGAGAGAGCCCATGACCAACATTAGCCAAGGCATCAACTGTGAAGTTAGTCTCACAAAAAACATGCTTGAAAGAGACCTCCTCACACAGGGAACACAGCATTAAAATATCCTAAGTTAGCAACTTGATACTCCAAGGGATAGAGGCAGCTGATTAATGCAGTCAATGACAATCTTAGAATCACCTTCGACCAACACTTTGCCCCAGCCACTATGCATCACATAAGCAAGACCGTCCCGCAACGCTAAGCATTCAGTCGCAGTGACAGTAACCTCGCCAATTTTCTTTGCCCTATCAAGTAAAGCATGACCATCACTGTTTCGAATAATGAACCCAGTTGTAGCATTATTGTTGTGCACATACCCATAAAAATTGAATTTAACTCAACCAAGAGGAGGAATATTCCATTTGATATCCACATGAACATAAGACTTAGAAGGAGGATGGAAGTTGTGTCTCCAATTGTCCATACCCACTGACTAACTACAGTAAGAGCTCTGAAAGGATGAGGGGGGAATATTTTGGAAGATGAGGTGGTTTCTAGCTCCCAAATTTTCCAACAAATTAGGAGAGCTTCAGATAGGTTATCTGGGCCATCTGGATTGGTGGAGTTATTAAGGGAGTTTAACCAATAAAGGTAATCAAAATTCTGGGTTTCAAAATCAATGGCAAGTTGGTACAATTCCAAACTGACTTGGTAGACGGACAAGTAAAGAATAGGTGGTTAATGGTTTCACTATGATTTTTACAAAGAGGGCATTCAGGGTCCACAGTTAGGATGAATCTATGTAAGTGACTTCTGACTTTCAGTCTTTTCCGAGTCAGTAACCAAGAGAAAATCTTCACCTTATGGGGTAAAATAAGCTTCCAAATTTTCTTCAAAAGAGTGGCCTGAAGGTGAGAAATTTCTTCCTGCAATTGAACATTGTAAGTACTTTTGATAGAAAACTTACTACTGGGGTTAGGATCCCATATCAATTGATCTTCGAGGGGGATAAGGGTAAGGGGATAAAGAGAATTTTATCTAAAACATCTTCATCAAGAACTTATGATAGTTTCTCTTTGTCCTATGCCTGATTCTAAATAAAAATCATTGACAAAAATATTAGTATTAGTGTTGCCTCTTTGAGTTAAAGGAATCAGATCAATTAATAGGAAAGGAAAAACCCAATGGGTTGTCCAGAAAGGAATAGATTGACCATTTCCCATAATCCACCTGATCCCTTTATGGAGGACAGATCTTACATCCAGAATTGCTTGCCAAGCTGAGGAATGTGAATTTTTTTCCTAAGGGCCAAGAAATGATCCCTTTTAAGATACTTTCTTGTTACAGTTTGAGTCCACCAGTTAAAGTTATCAGTTAAACAAGTCCAACTCAGTGTAGCTAAAGTTGCAAGATTGAAATGAGAAGGAGATTGTACACCAAGCCCTCCTATTTATTTGGGAAGGCAAACATCCTTCCAAGAAACAGGAGGAACCTTAGTGTTGCTTCCCCAAAAAAAATCTCATATAGCTTGTGTTCATTACTTTAGTAACTTCTTTAGGACACTTGAAACAAGAAAGTGTATGATTTGGAATACCAGAAATACTTGCCTTGATAAGGGTGAGTCTGCGAGCCCTTGAAAGGGTTTGAGCTTTCCAACCAAAAATTTACCTTTAATTCTTTCAATCATAAGTTTAGCATTGAGGGGATCCTTCCAAAAAACAATATTGTTAATGCCAAGATAGATTTACCTGGGGCAAATGCCCCTTGGTTTTTGGAAATATATTTAGCAAGAAGAAGTCAGAGCCGATTGATAATAATCTTTGTGATGAGTTTATAGGTAACATTACAAAGGCTAATAGGCCGAAACTGAGCAACAGTCTCAGGGTTGTCAACCTTAGGGATGAGGGCTATGTTGGTGTGATTGATAGCACACAATGGCAAATTATGAGAGAAAAAATCATTAACTAGATTTATCAACATATGCTTAGTTTTATCCCAGTACTGACGGAAGAACAAGGCATGAATACCATCAGGCTCATGGGCCCTACAGCACCAATGCTATATGAGAAAATGAACTCAAGAGGAAGAGAGAAGGATAAGAACAGAGAGATTAAGAATAATTGCCACAGTCAAGATACATTCTCTGTATTATCTGCAGTATAAATATTGGTACATAGGTTAGACTTTCTCAAGTCTATTTACAGAAACTTAACGATATAAGGTAAGTCCAATCAATTACATATATTACAGAGGAATTGACAATTAATCATTCTGGCTGATGAATGTCGTGCTTGTGGTTAGGAGGCTTCTAAGGCTGATGTAATGGGATCAGCTGATTTCATGGGACTGACAGAATGGATGGGATCTGCTGGTGTAGTATTCTCTTTAGCCCCCCTCAAGCATAACGGAGCAACGCGAAGATTGAGCTTGGATTTAAGAAGAGAAAACCGCTCACGACTAAGGCCTTTGGTGAATATGTCAACATAGAAGGTATGAAGAGCTTTGCGAGCAATGAGTTCGCGAACAAAATGATAGTCGATCTCAATATGACGGGTGCGAGCATGGAAAATAGGATTGGCAGCCATATAGATGGCGGAGAGATTATCAACATATACGCAAGGGGCAGAGCTAAGACGAATACCAAGTTCACGAAACAAGAAACCAAACCAGCAGATTTCAGCGGCAGTATGGGCAAGAGCACGATATTCAGCAATAGTGCTAGAACGAGAAACAGTAGACTGTTTCTTGGCAGTCCAGGTGAGAAGATTAGGTCCGAAAAAAATACAAGCACCAGTGGTAGACCGTCTATCATCAACATAACCAGCCCAATCAGCATCAGAGAAACTGCGTAAAGTAAAGTCATTGGACCGGTGAAACACAAGACCTTGCTCAATTGTACCTTTGATATACCGAAAAATGCGCTTGACAACCTAAAGATGAGAAGAACGAGGGTCGTGCATGAACTGACACACCTGATTAACAGCAAAGGAAATATCAGGCCGTGATAGAGTAAGATATTGGAGGCCACCCACCATATTCCGATAGGTAGAGGGATCAGATAAGGGATCACCATCCATACAGGACAATCGAGTGTCAGAAGGCAACGGTGTAGGACACGGTTTGCAGTCAGTCATGTTAAATCGTTTAAATAAATCAACTGCATATCTAGTTTGAGAAAGAAATAAATGATTGGGAAACCGAGTAATTTCCATGCCAAGAAAAAAATTGAGCTCACCCATTCGGCGACTGTCAAAGGTGGAGCACAATTGATCAAGAAATCGGTGGCCACTTTGAGTGTCAGACCCGGTGACAATGATGTCATCCACATATACAAGAACATAGACTATGCAGGAAAAAGAGCGATGAATAAAGAGTGATGCATCAGAGTGACTGTGAACAAATCCCTGAGCAAGAAGAAAGGCACTGAGGCGTTGAAACCAAGCTCGGGGAGCCTGCTTAAGGCCATAAAGAGCCTTATGGAGCCGACATACATCTTGAGGACGCGAGGAATCATGAAAACCAGGAGGTTGTTTCATATACACCGTTTCTTGCAAGTACCCATTCAAGAAGGCATTCCGAACATCAAGCTGCTGAAGAGACCAGTTATAAGACATAGCCAGAGACAAGATAGTGCGAATGGTGGCCGGTTTAACTACCGGGCTAAATGTTTCCTCATAATCAAATCCTTCCTGTTGATTGAATCCCTTTGCAACAAGCCGAGCCTTGTAGCGGTCAATAGAGCCATCAGCTTTCCGTTTAACTTTGAAAACCCATTTGCATCCCACAATATTCATTCGAGAGGTTGTTGGAACCAAAGACCATGTTTGATTCCTCAAGAGGGCATCGTATTCATCCTTCATGGCAGCTTGCCAATGACTGTATTTCGAAGCCTGGGTAAAACTTGTTGGTTCGAAGGACATGGGATCAGAGCAGGCGGCAGAGAGAGCATGGTGTAAGGAGTGTGAGTTGGTCGGAGAGTACATGGGTTTTGTGGCAGGACCAAAGGTGATGATGGACTTGAGGCTTTTAAAATTTTGGGGAGGGTTTGGTGTATCTGGAGAATTAGGGAAGAGAGATGGGTCAAGAGGGGAAGAAGGAGGAGTGGACGAATCAGGAGGGGAAGAGGGGGGTGTTGACTCGGGTGATGGGTTTGTGGTGTCCGTGATTGATGCTGAGGTCGTAGGCGACGAGGGAGACAGAGGTGACTGTAAGGGGTTTGGGGAGTGGAAGAACGATGAAAGAATGGCGTCTGTTGGAGGAGGGGAGAAAGGTTCTGTTGGGTCAGATTGTGTGGGATCAGATGGGGGTGGGCTGGCAGACGGGTTGACTGATGGAGAGTCAAGAACAATGGGGGCAGGTTGGGCTGGACTTGTAGAAGTGTTGATTTGTGAAGAGTCCAGGCTGGGCCCAATATCAAATTGAGAGGCAGGTGTGGATTGGGCGGCAGGTGTAATATGAGGTTGTTGGTGGGGAAAAATTGTCTCATCAAAAATCACATTCCGGGAGATATAAATGCGACCTAAAATAGGATCAAGACAACGATAGCCTTTATAATGATCATCATAGCCAATAAATACACATGAAACAGATTTAAAACATAATTTATGCCTGTATGAGGGAAGCAGGCACAACCAAAACTCTTGAGAAATGTATAATCTGGTGTGAGTTGAAGCAATTTCTCATAAGGAGACATGTGGTCAAGTTGAGGAGTTGGGAGGCGATTAATCAGAAAAACCGTAGTAGAGAAGGCTTCAACCCAAAGCTGTGGGGCAGGCGAGATTGGGCCAACAAACAAAGTCCCGTTGCAACAATATGCCGATGTTTCCTTTCCACCACTCCATTTTGTTGGGGAGTGTATGGACATGAGATCTGATGTGATATTCCATGATCACTTAAAAATGTGAGGAATAATTTGCTAGTAAATTCACCGCCACCATCAATCTGCAGTTGTTTGATGCGAGAGCTAAAATGATTTTCCACCATCTTCTTGAAGTGAATAAATGTAGCAAGAACTTCTAATTTCTTAGCCAATGGATATAACCAAGTGAACCGAGTATTATCATCGACAATGGATAAATAATAGCGGTAACCAAAATTTGAGGAGATTGGTGCAGGGCCCCATAAGTCAAGATGTAATAGAGGTAATGGAAATTGAGGATGAGATTGTCTATATTTAAAAGGCAATCGACAAGATTTTCCCAATGGGCATACATGACAATTTTTATTGGAGACAATTGTACCATCAAGTGGTAAGTGGTACTTATTCAACAATGTAGTAAAAACTGAATGAGATGGGTGTCCAAGTCGGGCATGCCACACGTCCTGTGTTGTACGCTTTCCATAACAAGCAATTTGACAAGCAATATGAGGGGCTGTTTGAATATGATAGAGGCCATCAGAACTACTGCCAGTAAGGAGTACCGTCCCCGTCTTGTTGTCCTTCACATGAAACCCATTAGCATCCAACTCAAAGAAACAATCATTATCACAGCAGAAACGACGAATAGAAATCAAGTTTTTGCGGATCGCAGGCACACACAAGACTTCATTAAGGTTTAATGATTTTTGCAACCCAGTTAACTTTGTATTTCCAATATGTGTTATTGCTAACTGATTGCCATTCCCAACAATAATTTTATCTGTACCTGTGTAAGGATGAGCATTGGAGAGAGAGGTGGCGTCACAATCCTTTGCACAGTTTGCAACTTGTTTACCATTGTCACAATCCTTTGTAGTATGACCAAACCTATTGCATTTTCCACATCTAGGTTTGCCTTTGTGCCTGCACACACCAAAGTGATACTTTTGACAGACTTGGCACTGTGGTTTCACACCACCTTGACTGCTATTTCCTTGCTTGTTTTGTGAATTGAAACTGTTGTTCCAATTCCCTCCCGAGCCATTACTCCAATTTGAGCCACTATTGTTGTTAAAGTTTCCACCTTGAGACCAATTTGAGCCCTTTTTGTTCTGTCCTTGCCATTTTTTATTTTTCTTTCCCTGAGAACTTTTGTTAACTCTAGAAGCTTGATTATTTCAAACTCTGAGACTGCTAAAAGCTTTCTCAGTTCCTGCCAATTTATCCATTTCATCATGTAGATCCTCTCTCTTATCATAGACATTGACAGATGCAAGAATTTCTTCAACTCTAATAGTGTCAAGGTCTCTGGTTTCTTCAATGATTGACACTATGGACTTGTACCTCCTACATAAACTCATCAACAATTTTTGAACAACCTTTTCTCTATTACATCTTCTCCTAGAGATTTCAAGTTGTTTACAGTTTCAAAACATCGAGCCAAGTAGTCATCCAAAGATTCAACATCATTCATTCTCAAATATTCAAAATCAGCTCTAATAGCTTGTAATTTCACACCTCTTACCTTTTTATCTCCTCTGAACTCTCTTCTTAGAATTTCCCAAGCACCTTTTGCAGTCTTCTCATTTCTGATGCGTGGAAAGAGTTCATTTGTTAGTGCTCCTTGAATAAGACTCAAAGCCTTGGCAGTTTTGATCTTATCTTCTCTGGAGATAGTAGGTGCTTCCACTGGAATTTCCTCAGCCTCACTCTCTTCATCTCCAGTGCCTTCAGAGCCTGCTTCCTGCTCAATAATCAGTTGTGGTTGTATTCCAATCTCCACTGCATCCCATAGATCATATGCTATGAGGATAGTCTCCATTTTTACTAACTAAAAAACATAGTTTGAACCATTGAACTGTGGAGTTCGTAAATCTCCACCTGCAGAACCTGATCCCACCATTTTGATGTGAGTCTCAGTGAACCACACAATAAAAGAGCAACCTTTATCCCTTATAGAGATTTTAGGAAAACCCCCTTTCTTACAGCTCACGCCCCTTCTCTGAAATCAGACTAGGAGCTCTGATACCATGTTAGAATTTGGTATTTAGCTTGCTGGTTTTAGTGACTGATTTACAGAAAACCAAAACCAGTGTAGGTAACGTATGCAAAGGAGAGAAAAAACACACAGAGAGAATGAGAATGTTTTCAGTCTTTTTCATTGTATTGCATCAGAGCCAAAATCACACTATATGAATGACACAAGCTGCCAAAAAACAGATCCTAAAAACTAGGACACAAGAACTCATCTCCAGCCATTCAAGGTCATTGGAGGCTATGATTCTTACACCTAGGCTAGAAATTGTTACAGCAGGAAGGACTAAAACAGTTAAGAATTACAGCTGTAGAGTTTCCTAAAATAGTAAGAAAACTAGCCGTTGGATAACAGCTATTACCAAGAAAGGAAAGTTCTTCAGCTCCTTTGATTTCTTCATTCTCTTCACTATTAATTTGCAGGATTAACATTTGCAGCTTGATTCAAAACTAGTATGCAGCTTAACTCTCAACAACCTCTCCTAAGCTGCTTACTAGTTTAACTCCATGCTTCAACCTCAAATAATTGAATCGATATTTGGGCAGAGCTTTTGTAAAAATATCTGCCAACTGTTCTTCACTTCTGCAGAATTTTATATCAATCACCCCTTCTTTTAAAGCTTCCCTTATGAAATGATACCTTCGGTTTATGTGCCTTGTTTTCTGATGGAAAACAGGATTTTTGACCATTGATATTGCTGACATGTTGTCACAAAACAATGGTGTTGCATTAGGTTGCATTTCACCAAAATCATCCAACACAAACCTTAGCCAGAGAGCTTGAGCTGTTGCCTCAGCTGCTGAGACGTGTTCAGCTTCTGCAGTTGACAATGCAACTGTGTTTTGCTTGACCGAAGCCCATGAGAAAATTCCACTACCAAAACTGAATGCATATCCAGATGTGCTTCTACTGTCATCTTCGCTACCAGCCCAATCAGAGTCACAAAAACCAATCAGAACAGCATTCTTGTCCCTTGTAAATTCAATGCCATAACTGAGAGTGCGTTGAACATATCTGAGAACCCTTTTTGCAATTCCCATGTGTTTCTTTGTAGGGCTATGCATGAATCTTGATAACAAACTGGCTGCAAACATTATATCAGGCCTGGTTGCAGTCAGATACAACAGGCTACCAACAATTTTTCTAAACAAACCTTCATCAGCCAACTGACTTCCATCAATTTTCTTTAGTTTCTCACCAGTGGGTAGAGGAATTGTTACTGACTTACAATCCTCGAGACCAAACTTCACAAGCAAGGACTTTGCATACTTGCTTTGATGAATAAACACCCCTTTATCAGTTTGTAGAACTCCCATTCCCAAGAAATGATGTAAGAGTCCTAAATCAGTCATCTCATACTTTTGCATCATGTCCCTTTTAAACTCACTGAGCAATGCATTACTGTTTCCAGTATAAACTATATCATCAACATATATAGAGACAATGATCAATTTTCCTTCTTCATCAGTTTTGGTATATAAGGTGGCCTCACTGGTGCTTCTTTTAAAATTGCAGCTAGCTAGATAGGTGTCAATTTCACTGTACCAGGCTCTGGGAGTCTGCTTCAGACCATAGAGTGCCTTCTTCAATTTATAGACCTTATGACTTCCTGCTTTCACTTCAAACCCCTCTGGTTGCTCAGTATAAACCTCCTCCTTAAGTACTCCATTCAAGAAGGCTGACTTAACATCTAATTGGAACAACTTCCAACCCTTTTGTGTTGCAAGTGCAATCAAAGTTCTAATTGTATCTAACCTTGCCACCGGGGCAAAGGTTTCATTATAATCAATACCAGGTTTTTGAGCATACCCTTTAGCTACAAGCCTAGCTTTGTGTTTTCAACTGTTCCATCCAGATTCAACTTGGTTTTGAACACCCATTTGACTCCTATGACTGGTTTATCTGTAGGCCTTTCCACTAGCTCCCAAGTTCCATTCTTTTCAATAGTTTCAATCTCAGCATCCATTGCTTCCTTCCATGCTTTGTCTTCTACAGCTTCATAATAAGTTTCAGGTTCAATAATGGTCATGTGACATCTTGCATAAATGTCCTCCAAACTTCTCAGCTTTACTGGTGTATTGCTTGGAGTTGACCCTTGACTGGTGCCACTGCCATTTCTTCCAGAGACATGTTCAGCATCTAAGATTAATTGATTCAGATTTGGTGAATCAATGCTATGAATTTCACGAGAGGCTTCTTCTGTTTTAGCTATCTCAGAATTTCCATTTTCAAAGATGAAATGAACAGAAACAGTTTCATCTTGCTTGCTTTCCCAATTCCAGGATTTGTTCTCATAAAAAACAACACTTCTAGAGAGTATAATCTTCTCAGTTTGAAGATTGTAGACCCTGTAACCCTTCTCACAGCTGCCATAACCCATAAAAATTCTTTTGCTTGCTTTGTCATCAAACTTCTGTCTAAGGTTTGATGGAATGTGACTGTAACAGATACTTCCAAACACTCTCAGGTGTTTTACACCTGGTTTCCTTCCTGTGAAAGCTTCAAATGGAGTTTTGTCTGTAACTGAAGTGGTATAGCACCTGTTTTGCAGATACACAGCAGTACCAACTGCTTTAGCCCAGAACTTTACAGGAATTTTCTTCTCAGTCATCATTGATCTTGCCATTTCACAAATGGTTCTGTTTCTTCTTTCAGCAATCCCATTTTGTTGAGGTGAGTAGGCAATAGTCAATTGCCTCTCCATGCCAAGATTACTGCAATACTCAAGGAATTCATGTGAAGTGTATTCTCCACCTCTGTCACTTCTTAGTTTCTTTAAATTGAATCAACTTTGTAGCTCAACAAAAGCTTTGAACTTTTTGAACACACTTATCACACTTGACTTGTTTCTGAGAAAATATACCCAACACATTCTTGAATAGTCATCAATGAATGTGATGAATTATTTATTTCCTCCAATGGACTCATTTTGCATTGGACCACATACATCCGTGTGTATCAACTCAAGTGGATTCTTAGCTCTCCAAGGCTTCTCATTCTCAAATGGTTCTCTGTGGCTTTTACCACACACACAGCCTTCACATACTCCTTTTTCTGAGAAATCAGGTAAGCCTAACACCATTTGTGTATGCTGCATTTTTTTCATGCTTGCAAAATTCAAATGCCCCAATCTTCTATGCCAAACCCATGGATCTTCTTGCACTGCTGCTTTCATTCCCATTGAGCATATAGATTCCATAAACAATGGAAAGCATCTATTTCCAACCATTGCTACTTTGGCAACAACATTATCAAGGCTGCTGTCATCACATATTAATGCATAGTTTCCTCCAAATAGAATGTAGTACCCATGCTCCATCATTTGTCCTACACTTAACAAATTCTCATCCAAACCAGGGACTAACAGCACCTCATTTATATATCTTCTCCCTTTTCTTGTCTTAACTACTAGTGTCCCTTTTCCTGTGGCTTGAACAAAGTCACCAGTGCCCATTTTCACTTTGCAGGTCACTAACCTATCAAGATTGATCAACCAGGACTCTTGAGAGGTCATGTGATTGCTGCAAGCACTGTTAACAAACCACACAGACTTGCTTGATACAATTGAACTTGCATGACAAGTATAGAACATTGTTCCTGTGGTTACCTCTTCCTCCTTTGCACAGTTTGCAACTTGTTTACCATTGTCACAATCCTTTGTAGTATGACCAAACCTATTGCATTTTCCACATCTAGGTTTGCCTTTGTGCCTGCACACACCAAAGTGATACTTTTGACAGACTTGGCACTGTGGTTTCACACCACCTTGACTGCTATTTCCTTGCTTGTTTTGTGAATTGAAACTGTTGTTCCAATTCCCTCCAGAGCCATTACTCCAATTTGAGCCACTATTGTTGTTAAAGTTTCCACCTTGAGACCAATTTGAGCCCTTTTTGTTCTGTCCTTGCCATTTTTTATTTTTCTTTCCCTAAGAACTTTTGTTAGCTCCAGAAGCTTGATTATTTCCAACTCTGAGACTGCTAAAATCTTTCTCAGTTCCTGCCAATTTATCCATTTCATCATGTAGATCCTCTCTCTTATCATAGACTTTGACAGATGCAAGAATTTCTTCAACTCTAATAGTGTCAAGGTCTCTGGTTTCTTCAATGATTGACACTATGGACTTGTACCTCCTATTTAAACTCATCAACAATTTTTGAACAATCCTTTTCTCTATTACATCTTCTCCTAGAGATTTCAGGTTGTTTACAGTTTCAAAAAATCGAGCCAAGTAGTCATCTAAAGATTCAACATCATTCATTCTCAAATATTCAAAATTAGCTCTAATAGCTTGTAATTTCACAGCTCTTACCTTTTTATCTCCTTTGAACTCTCTTCTTAGAATTTCCCAAGCACCTTTTGCAGTCTTCTCATTTCTGATGCGTGGAAAGAGTTCATCTGTTAGTGCTCCTTGAATAAGACTCAAAGCCTTGGCAGTTTTGATCTTATCTTCTCTGGAGATAGTAGGTGCTTCCACTGGAATTTCCTCAGCCTCACTTTCTTCATCTCCAGTGCCTTCAGAGCCTGCTTCATGCTCAATAATCAGCTGTGGTTGTATTCCAATCTCCACTGCATCCCATAGATCATATGCTATGAGGATAGTCTCCATTTTTACTAACCAAAAAACATAGTTTGAACCATTGAACTGTGGAGTTCGTAAATCTCCACCTGCAGAACCTTATCCCACCATTTTGATGTGAGTCTCAGTGAACCACACAATAAAAGAGCAACCTTTATCCCTTATAGAGATTTCAGGAAAATCCCTTTTCTTACAGCTCACGCCCCTTCTCTGAAATCAGACCAGGAGCTCTGATACCATGTTAGAATTTGGTATTTAGCTTGCTGGTTTTAGTGACTGATTTACAGAAAACCAAAACCAGTGTAGGCAACGTATGCAGAGGAGAGAAAACACACAGAGAAAATGAGAATGTTTTCAGTCTTTTTCATTGTATTGCATCAGAGCCAAAATCACACTATATGCATGACACAAGCTGCCAAAAAACAGATCCTAAAAACTAGGACACAAGGACTCATCTCCAGCCATTCAAGGTCATTGGAGGCTATGATTCTTACACCTAGGCTAGAAATTGTTACAGCAGGAAGGACTAAAACAGTTAAGAATTATAGCTGTAGAGTTTCCTAAAATAGTAAGAAAACTAGCCGTTGGATAACAGCTATTACCAAGAAAGGAAAGTTCTTCAGCTCCTTTGATTTCTTCATTCTCTTCACTATTAATCTGCAGGATTAACATCTGCAGCTTGATTCAAAACTAGTATGCAGCTTAACTCTCAACATGATCATGTTTAGAGGGTTCTTCTAATCGAACATGTCATTGTGGCTCGTATTGGGACATTGTTTCACCATAATTTGGTTCTCAAAAAACCAGATTGACCAAAAACTGGACCGAGTTGACCAAAAATTAGACCGTTTTGGTCTGATTCTAATTCCGATTCTTGTAGTGAAAAAACTGGACTCGCCCGAACTGGACAGACTGTGCATTTTTTTTTATTTTTTAATCAAAATTTTAAGCTCAATGCTAGAATTCTAAGCCCATAACTAATCTTTACCCAAGCTCAACTCCAAATCATCTCTCTTTTCTAGGCCCAATCACCCCCTTTTTGCATGAAATTGGGCTATTTGTGAATTTTTATGCCCAAAAAATAACATTTTACTTGGCTTTTGTAAAAAATAAAAAAATAATAATAATTACGATCCAAAACTCAAAAAACTAGAAATCAAACTAGCTTATGGGCAAACCAGGCCTAACAGGTTTTATAATTATTTTTGGGTAATGATTTCCTCACTCCAATTTTATCCACTTACATTCCTTTTTTAGTTATAAAATGGAGTGTAAGTGGATAAAATTGGAGTGAGGAAATCACCACTCTTATTTTTTTGTCAAATGGAATCAAATTGGACCGAATGAATAGTGATTTCGATTCTGGTTTGGGGTGAGAACCTGACTATGCCCACACCCTAATTAGTAGGGAAATGTGGGGGTGGTCCGTCAAAAGGTTTAAATGACAATGTTTTACTGTAGTTTCTTTTTCATTTGGGCCTTTGCCCCCTCAATGTACCAATCAACAATTGACCATCGAAATAACTAGAAATCGGAGTAAGCATGAATCGGGTTAACCAATAATCATAATCATACATTCCAATTAAATTGTTTATTAATTGTCAAGAATAGAAATGAAAATCAAATTGATTCCCATTAAAATGTTTACTATTGTCAAGAATCAGAATAAAACCAATTTGATTACCAAAATATGCGTGTACAAAACAAAATTAATTCTATTTTGTTTAACTATTTACACAATTTTCAAATGACAAAAGTTGTGTTATCTAATAATAGACCAACGTTTTTATATTGATGATAAATCGAATTTAATATTTGTAAAAATAAGCATTTTTATAAGTTGAATTATTTACTTCCAATATAAGCCTAATTATTTATTTTCCCTGTCCCATATCGATTGTAATTATAAAAAAAAAAAAAAAAAAAAAAAAAAAAAAAAAAAAAAAAGATTTAATTAAAATATATGTATATCTATATAAAATAAGTTAAAAAAAATGGCAGCAACTTGGGGTTTTTTTTCCCCCCAAAGAATAATGCGTATTTTGGTGTTTTCACAAAATATATGAGGCAATTTGGGTACAAAAAATCTCATTCCAATTCATCCTTGCCCAATCCCACGTCCCCATCATCCCCTCAGGAATTCAACTCCCCCTGAATCATGAATTAGACAAATGATTTTATGTGGGCACCACGTTGCTTTTCATTCCCAATGGGAGACCCATTCCCACTTTAAGTATGTAAACATGCCCTTAATTAAACTGGCGTCATTAAATTTTAAACCACTTATCAAACTCATTCAACCGGTCTGGTCTGGTTAATTAGCACTATTTTTTCAACCAAAAGAAGAAAAAAAAAGGCATGACGGGTCCAATTTGGCCAATTTTTTGTTGCCCTGCCCTATTGACAATAGTGGCATAAACCCATTTGTTTTAGTAGACTAGTCTACAATATATTGTGAACTTTTGCATGGTTGATTTTTTATTGAGGACCTAAAAAATATAAATGGTTCGGATTATGGAATACAATATTACAGAGTTAGTTTTTTTATATTTTTTTATAGACTAAATATTATAGAGTTAGTTCAAATAAGTGGTTAGCTCCGTATTAATTCAATAACTAGGTCCATAATGAGGTGTCACGATAATAATGGCATGTTTTTTTTAATGATCAATGAGTATGCATTTGCAAAACACTATTTATCATGATAGAAACAATGTGTTTTTTTTTCTTGGTAACACATGTTTGGACATTTGTTATGGTAATGTGTACCTCCCCTTATTTTTTAGTTTCTTAAATTTTGTTTGGTTGACAAGAAAAAAAAGGAGGAGAGATTATGAATAAATCACAAGATAACATTACATTTATAAATTTACAAGTGGGTTTGAGTAGTATACAAGTTGCCGAGCATAATTACAACACAAAAATACATCCCATACAATTATATATTCTGGTGTGAAAGTTTGTGACAGTTGATTCCGTGAAGCGTTGAGTCCCTATCTGTGGAAGCTGGGTGAACGTGAACCAATTAAAATGATTGTTAATGACAAGCTCTTCCTTCCATTCATCGCCCCATTTCTCTCTTGCTCTTTTTTTCTTGCCTGCTATGATGTGCACGTGAAACCCCAATAATTCTCATGCAACAGTGGGGTCCTAATTCCTGAAGCCAGCCCTTCATCTTTTGTTCTCAAGCCAAACTCCAATCCCCAAGAATCACTCCACTCTCTCTCTCTCTCTCTCTCTCTCTCTCTCTCTCTCTCAAACACAAACACATTCATTCATATCTTTCTTCTCCACCACCATCAACAATGGTGGATGCAAAACCTGTTTTCCAAGTTCTGCTTCATCTGCTTTTCCTCTGCCTCCGTTCTGCAAATGGGGTTCAGTCTTTCAAAGAGAAGAAGGTCCTCAAACTGCAAGAGTTTCGTTGGAGGCCGCATGGTGGAACCAGAAGTACTGTTTGCCTCTCTCAGAAATCAAGTAAGTTTTGTAGCAAACAGTAAAAAGAACTCATAATTGAACTAGTCATTTACAATGCTGCTGACCGTATCTTTTCTTAGCTTTATTTTATTCTCTACTTTGGGATTGTAATATATTGCAACAACTTCTTTATGTTGTTAATTAGGAGATCTAGAAGTGCTTTAGTTCTAATTAAAGTTAATGAACTAGTACTGCTCTCTCTCTCTCTCTCTCTCTCTCTCTCTCTCTCTAGGAAGGGCATTTAACTATTCATTTCCTTTGATAAAGCTTATCTTGGCTTTACTATTTGTTCTGCATTGGAATATATGTTTTGCATTATGTGCTTTTTAAAAGTCTTATTACTATAATAATCAGCAAGCTTTTGAGGTTCTCTTGGTAGATTATGCTGGGTTGTGGGGCAATGCACCTCAGAATAATGAACTTAATTCTCTGTCTATCTCTAGGCCTGCTCATCTACAGCTTTACAACTTTTTCTTAAGATATACTTCCACTGTAATTTTGTTTCTTTTTTGTTTTTGAGGTACTAATATAGCATGAACAATTTTGGGAAATTCTGAACTGAGTTATCATTTTTTAAATTATAGGAAAAGAAAAAGGTGCAACCATATTGGAAATCAAACACAGAGATTACTGCTCAGGAAAGATTGTGGACTGGAACAAAAAGCAACAGAAACGTTTAATTTTCGATGATCTTCATGTTCGGTCACTGCAATCCCAATTCAAAAACAGAGTCTCTGGCAGAATAAAAGATGCATCAGAAGCTCAAATTCCATTAACTTCTGGTATAAGGCTACAAACATTAAACTACATTGTGACTGTGGAATTGGGAGGTAGAAATATGACAGTGATTGTAGACACAGGCAGTGATTTGACTTGGGTTCAATGCCAACCTTGCAAATTATGTTACAATCAACAAGAACCTCTTTTCAACTCATCTGCATCCCCTTCATACAAATCTGTTTTATGCAATTCATCAACTTGCCAATCACTCCAGTTTGATACTGGGAATTCTGGGGCGTGTGGGAGCAATCCAACGAGCTGTAACTATGTCGTTAACTATGGTGATGGCTCGTATACGCGCGGTGAGCTAGGTAGTGACCATCTCAGCCTTGGAGCTACACCTGTGAACAACTTTGTGTTTGGCTGTGGCAGGAACAATAAGGGTCTGTTTGGAGGAGCTTCAGGTCTAATGGGCTTGGGAAGGAGTGAGAGTGTTTCACTGGTTTCTCAAACTTCTGCCTTATTTGGTGGTGTGTTTTCCTACTGTTTACCTACAACAGAAGCCACAGCTTCTGGTTCTTTAATTATGGGAGGTGATGCTTCAATTTACAAGAATTCCACTCCGATTTCTTACACTAGAATTGTTCCAAATCCAGAGCTGTCATCCTTTTATTTTCTCAACGTTACTGGTATAAGTATTGGGGGAGTGGCTTTACAAGCTCAAAGTTTTGCAAGTGGTGGGATTCTGATTGATTCTGGGACAGTTATTTCAAGGCTTGCTCCTTCAGTTTACGAGGCTGTCAAGGCAGAGTTTCTGAAACAGTTTTCGGGGTACCCTCCAGCACCAGGTTTTTCAATCTTGGACACTTGCTTCAACCTCAGTGCATATCAAGAAGTGAGCATTCCTACCTTAAAGTTTCACTTCGAGGGAAATGCTGAGCTGAATGTTGATGTAACTGGAGTCTTTTATCTGGTAAAAACTGATGCATCACAGATCTGCTTGGCTCTTGCAAGCCTTTCGTACGAAGATGAGATCGGTATTATTGGGAACTATCAGCAGAAAAACCAAAGGGTCATATACAATACTAAAGACTCTAAGCTCGGATTTGCAGAGGAATCATGCAGTTTTATATGACCTGGAATTTAAAAAGGATTTAGGTATGTTTTCGCCTATATATTTTTCGAAGTAAAGCCAAGCAACCCCGTTGGCAACAAAACCTTCAACCAAATAGTTCTTTTTAGTTCATTTGATGTATAAATAGTTTTGGTCACAATTGGGACAAGGTATAGAATATATGAATGCATGCGCTTTGCAGTTTCTGAGTGCCTCTGTAATAAAGTGACTCCCTACAGCTGAGGCAGGAAGAGTTTGAACTGTATATTATTTTTCTGTGTATCTGTTTGGACGTAAGAAGATACGCAGGAGTGTGAAGGTATGGCTATTGTGACCACACAAGGTTCACATATATGTGCCCTCCTTGTTGCTTCATATAAATGAAAAATGAGTCCTTGCCAAAGCTTTTGAGAACTTTGTGTGAAAGAACTCTGTATTATTTCATGCACTTCAAAGTATTGATCTCCATATAGTTGAAATAAAGTTTAATTGAGATGAATTGAGTCAAGTAGAGCTTTATTAATTATTTTTTGGACAAAGCATTCACGAAAAGAAACAGCGAAACCAGTGAACAAATTGTTTCACTTCTTTGAGACAGGGTAGAAACTACATTTCCTAAGGGCCATCCACATGTTCCGTAAACATATCACGACACTAACAAGAACAAAGAGGAGTTTCTTTTTCTTTTTTTCTTTCTTTAGTCAGAACAAGACTCAGTTTCTCGAGCCTGAGGGCACTGTTCTTCGACGGCGGGAAGGCAATAAGGTAAAAATAAGGTTCTGTTTTCAATCCCTGCATTCCCACTTTAAACTGATTAAAGCGCTACTGAAGACTGGTATTGGAAGGTGATGTAACTGGAGTTCTGAATCTTAGAGCAGAGAACTATGGAGATGTCTGCATATGCATACAAGATTTTCAGCTTGAAGATGCATACAGAACTTTCAAGGATCTTAAACAACCAAGCTCGTCCTGTGTGCATCTCATAACAGTGGAGCAGTAAGAATTTATCATGGAAAAATATTGTTGTAATCATAGTACTCTTAATAATTAGAGAACTTCAAAAATGCCTTCTTTCAGGGACGTGGTTCCAGCATTTCGAAGGATTGTTTCTCCAGATCTCCCAACAGCCATCAGATGTAGTTCGTCCTTCACATCGTATTTTACCAGATCAATGCATCTCTAGTTCAGATCAGGTGACGTTCACAAAGGAGGCCATTTCAAGAGTCTCATACTCATGTGTATCATGACCTTTTTTGGTCCTCAACATCTCAGGTGGAAGAATGCACAAGTTGGGATCAGTTCTGGGTATTAAGAAAAGTAATGCAATCGGAACAATTCTCAACAAACTCCGGATCAAAATTGCCGTCCAAAGATTTTCAAACTCTGTCCGTGTAATCTTCAAGACGTGGAGTAAGAGGCCTCCAGCCCAAGTAGATGACAGCATTCCAACATGATCAATAGACATAAGCAAAGCAAAGAAAGTGCCTTCTATACCAGCAGGACAGAGTTTGGAACTAAGTACAAGAAGAGGCATCCATTTAATACGCCCAATCAACTGAGTAATGCCTTCGTCAATGACAACAAAAAAATAATCTGGTAAACCAAATTTCAAATTTAAGCGCAACACCAATATCAAGTCTAGCAATCCTGATACACCGTAGAGCAATTGCGTCCAGAAAAGCACATCCCTGAAGGGGTAACTTTTGAAGAAGTTCTGGTAAAGAAGGACCCCCAAAAGAGAGCCAATAGCACCAATAGAGAATATAGACCCAACAACCTCCTGCAGCATGTAAATAATGAGTTTGCATTTTAGGCACATCAGAGCAAACAACTTTCAAATGTTATTAAAAAAGCCGCAATTGGTAACATCAAATGCACTGAAATTATAGAAATAATTCAGGTTACCTGTGAGAAAGATGGACCCCCCTTTGCATCGGTGTACCAGTAAAACATTCCTTCACGAACATTCAAGGCCAAAGCAAGTGACAAGTACATGTATAAACAGGGCCTCCAGACATTACCACATTTTAGAGTTGTCCACATAGTCTTGCAAGCATCCAGAAACTTTACACTGACCTAACTTAAGAGCTTGGTATGAGCATTAGAAAGCAGGAGTTTAAAAAGTAAACAACAAAGTAAGGTAATCTCACCTGTGTATAAGTGAAGGTGCGAACATGAGGTTCTCTATGCATTACCCCAACCAAAATGACCAGCCCTGGAGGGATGCTGAGCAATCCAAAGACACCCTGTTGTAAAAGTGCCAAACTTGCACTGGTCAGAGAAGCAATTTAACTGAATAAAAGGTTAATTTATATCATATTTGACATAATGAAATCCTAGGCATAAGGAAACCATCCCAACATGATCTGGTTCGAACTTGACAAATCACTAAAATATGAGTTCAAATAAAAGTTCTGTCTAATACACAGTATGATGCATCCTTTCATATGAAATACATCTCATAGATGAAATATTACGTGTTTGAATTGGATTTTTACAAGGTCGGGGATGATCGTTGGATCTAATCTGTTGATTATGGACCCAATTAGAATTATATCATTTGAACGTTGGTGAATCCAAAATCCTTTGCACGCCTACTATGTTAAAAATTGGACAGGCATCTCTGACATGCCTAAAAAATATAACAAAAGATTACCCTCAAAGTTTGACCAAGGAGCTGAGCTCTTCACAGATTTTCAAACAATGCCAAAAGTTTATATTGTTACAAGCACAAGAAACTTGAGAAAAATCAAACCTTAGGGCCCAGTAGGTGAACAAGAAACCCACTAAGTGAAAATCCCACCAATGCCCCAATTGAAGAGGCCAGTCCACACAAGCTCTGCATGTCACCAGCAAGGGATGGATGACTTATACTGTTTTGTGTAACACAGGCATCAATTGTTACATCAGCTATTGCTACTCCAGCACTCCCCACCATCAGAGACAACAGGGAAATTGTGAGATCTAATTTCTTGTCTAGTGATAGCACAAGCATGGAGATCACCCCAATTACACCTGGAAAAGAAAAATGGGAAAGAAAAATAAGGGAACAGCCTTCTGGTTCCAGCTATTTTTGTTTTTCTTTAAATTCAGGTCATAATGCCAAAACATATAAAGCACATTTTATCTTATACAGATTAAATTAGGAAAATAAAAATTTTCCAGTTGCAAAGCAACTCTTGCAGTCAAGCTAACAAATACGTACAGAAAATGGAAGTCTTTGAACCAAAGAAAGAATAGAAAACGGAAGTCAGTACTGTCAAGGGGCATGGGATTTCAAAACTTAACCCAGGATTACAATCGTTCAACGAGCATACCTTAATATACAAGTTTAAATTTAAATGTTCTTTTAAGGTTCAACAAGTGGAACACTCCTGAACTAAGTAGGTATATATTCAAAGTAGTATGATATTTTAAAAGAAAAAACAGTTGGCAAGGTAAAAGCAGACTTGCATATAGGCTACTTTCATGCATAGATAATCTCAGTTATGCATGTCATCATTAAGTTATGAACAGGATGAATCAATTTTTACTTTTAAAATCTGCATACTTGAGTACTGATCCAGGTGATTCAAAATAAACGCATACAGTAACGTTGTAGCAGTTATAACATATGCCTACACAAGAAATCACCATCTGAGTGACAATCAGGTCATCTTTTAGAATGAGAGTCACTTAAGAAGAAAAATAATCTAAAGCCTAAAACTAAAGGCGAAATATGAGATAGAGGTGTTACTATAGCACTTTAAAAAGAATACCACGTGTGCACACTCTCACAAACTAGCATTTGCTCATGCTGTGCAAAGCTATAGTTATGGAAATTGTAGCAAGTCGAAAAATAAGACATTTTGCCAATTTTGTTACCCCATTTGCTAACACTAAGCTTCCTCCTAAAGTAAACTGAAACTCTAACGACCGCCACTTCAAGATTAATGTTTTCCCCATTCTTTGGATAGTTACTAAATTCAACGCTAACAAATTTTCATTGCTTACCTATCAAGTAAGCTACAACATGCAATGATCTCAAAATAACAGAACAATTATGCTTTTCAATTCAATCCAAAACTAAAAGAAGCAGCTGAAATTATAGAAAATTTTACAAGCAACACATTCATATACAAAAATGAGTTGGTATCATTTACCGGCAAAAACAAAGTACGGCTTTCGGCGGTACCCAAGAATAGGAAGAGTATCAGTGAGAAGACCCCAAAAAGGCTTAACCATCCATGGAATTTGAATAATCCCAAAGTAGACTTGTGCTTCAGAGGGCTGCACTTTCTGATCATCTTTCAAGTAATACTGTATACCGATTCTACTCAGTCCCATACTCAGACCCTGACTGATTCCGTAAACAATGACCACACCCACCACAAAGCTCCAATGCAACTCACTGCTGAGCATTTTGAACCAATTCATGGGTGTCCATAGCAAATCCCGGACACCCTTTACTGAGGTTTTCTGCTTTTGGTTCTCAGTGTGAAGACTTTCTTTTTCCTGTTCTTCTTCTGCTTCCATTTCCATAGCTCTACTTTTCCTGCAAAACTTTAGAAGAATAAAAGATAACCAGCTCATAAATCTCTGTTTTCTGAAGGGGGTTTGTCAAATTAGTTGAAATTTGTGCAAGCTTGAAGAATTTTTCTCAAGTTGCATCTCTATGACATTGACTTTGACTTCAACTTCCTCTGGGCAAAATGCGAAAAATAAGCCACTAGCCAGGCAGAGAGAGAGAGAGATCCAGGACAAGATTCGGCCAAGAAAAGGTGGACCAATGTGATCTCACAACCCCAAAACGATGCTGGTGGGCCTGTTGGCTTTGCTCCGAGGTAGCAACAGCAAGAACTCGTTAGCTCAACAAAAGCCCAATGGGTAGCGGGCAAAATAATAAAAGAAAGTTTAATAATCAGAAACTATCAGAAACCGCCAAGTGGCACCCAATTTTTGTTTAAGGTTTGGTTGTTTAGAGTTTATCAGTGCAAGGTTCTGTATAGTTTAGGGCTAGAATTCATTAAGGTTCGCTATAGTTTAGGGCTACAATTCATTGTTCTTTGGTGGTGCAAAATCATCACTTTAGATATTAAGATTTAGATGGGTTTCAGGTAGGTGTGGGCACGGTATAGTTCGGTCCGGTTCTCACTCCAAACCGGAATCGAAATCCGTACTATTTAACCGGTCCGGTTTAGACAAAAAAAATTTCAAAAACTGACCAGTTCGGTTTTGACCAGTTCTGGTTTTGAACCATATTATTATTTTTTTTATTTTTTTATTTTTTTTCAAAAAAAATATTTTTAAAAAATTATAATAAATAACTTATTTTTTTGGCTTAAAAATTAACAAATAATCCAATTCATACCTTTATAAATTTTTTGAAGTTGAACTTGGAAAAATATAGTGATTATAAAATTTAAAATATGGCATTAGATTTTAAAAATTTGTAAAAATAAAAAATATATATATAACCAGTCCGGTTCGGTCCAATTTGTTGACTTTTTTGGTCAACCGGTTTTTTTTTTTCCCTATTTTTTTCACTGGTTCAGTTCAGTGTTCCAATTTTTTGATCCCGATGCCCACCCCTAGTTTCAGGCGAAGCTCAAAATTCAAACCCAAACACCCACCCTAAGGAATGAACCAAATCCTCAAAAAATAGTAAGGACAAAAGGAGTAGCAATGCAACCCTACAGTTGTAAATGCACAAGCACAAAAAAAAAAAAAAAAAAAAAAAAAAACAAAACTAAAAAAAAATAAAGAGGTTGGCAATAAGAAAAATGTTTAAGGCTAGAAGAAAATATAAAAGAAAAAAAGTATGAGCTTATTAGAGTATCTCAAGGCTGTTTTTGTTATTATAGATTCAGAAGGCTCCCCTCTCATTGGTAGAACGAGGAAATGTTGGTTCTTCTAGTGTTTTATTGGTTGAACCTCATGCCTTAGAGCACTTCCGTCCATTTTTCATGGCAAAAGGCAAGGGGAGTTTTGGTGTGGGAAGTGAAGAACATTACTAAGTATTTATAGAAAAAAGTTTCTGAATATTTTGGTTGTTTTTTTTTTTTCAAGTTTTTTGGTATTTAAATTGGTTGCTGACATCACACTGACGTCAGCTTGCCCAGGCAGCAAGTTAGGCAAGTCTTGCATTTGGACTTGACTAGTTTCAATGGGCCCACTTCTTGCCATGACAATTTTCCTCGGTGGGGGTTGTTTTAGGAGTCTAGGCCCCTTTTGGCCATGACAAAAGGGGATGGGTGGAATTGTTCTTAGGGAATGATTTACTTCAAGATCCACACTTCACTCATTAATTTTGGAAGTTAGCTCTAAAGTGTTGCTTGGCTACTCCACACCTTAAACAAATTTTCTTGAAGATAGTTTGGCTAATGAAGGTCATTCAACTAGAAGCCTCGAAGTTTGGAGATGGTGACTTCAGAAGTTTCCTCGAGGCTTTGCTTTGTAGTTTTGGTTTTCTTTCTTTTAGGCTTGTAAAATGGGCTTGGCCGGGTCCAGTCACAAGCTTCTTTGGCACTATGGGTTGTGGGGGCCAAGCTAGGCCAACCCTATCTTTAATAAGTTAAGCCCAAACCCTACCTAAGAGACAAGAATTTGGGCTCGTAGGAGGACCAATGGGTTGGGCCTATATGGCCATGTCAAATAGACCATATATAATTAATTAAATGCAATTATTATTAATACTAGTTTACTTTTATAAGGATATTAAATACAAAATGTTAATATTCAAAGGTCATTTTTTCTTTCAAATTTTTTAATTAAATATAAACATGATTAATATTAGTTTAGTTTTATATAAATATTATTTATTAACTTAAATATTGGGTGACTACCCAAGGGCTTACAAATCATGGCCCAAGCCCTATCATTTACACAACGAGTTAGCTAAGCCCGACCACAATACTAAGCTAGACCATTCTATATCCCAAAGATTAGGGCCGAGTTTGGGCTAGCCCATTGGGCTTGGGCCTTTTACAAGCATATAATCTCTTTCTTGATGCCCAAGAAAACTCAAATCCATCTACAACATCTCAATCTCCACTCAGACCTCGTCACATTTTGTCCATACACTGTTCCTCACGTTGAAGGCCTCCATGAGGGCATTGAGTTTGCCTCTAAGGTCCTGACACCTTTGATCGATTTGCCAAGGATGGCACCCGTGACCAAATATAAGCTTTCTTAAACGCTAGCTTTCTCGACTGTGAAAATAAAATTGATATGATTTTCTATGACTTTGCTCATTGGATACCATAAATCACAAGGAAGCTTGGGGTTGGGATCAAATCCATTCATTACAACATTGCTTGTTCAATTATGTACTCGTTTAACTTTGTCCGGACGCAAAATTACAACCCTAGCCTTACTAGTAATACCAAGGATCAACTACGAGACGTACCCCTAGATACCCATTAGAAACTATGGTGTTGCTTCTTGACCATGAACTCATCAGGAACAACTTTTGGAAATCATGTGGATTAGGTGGCTTCACACTTTATCAGAGGCTCACTAATGCCATCAAACAAGGAGATGTAATTTGCATAAGAATGTGTAGAGAAATCGAAGGTGATTTTTGCTATTACATGCTTTTAATTCGGCCAGTTTTGGAGTTGGAAGACTTTAATAAGAATAGCCCACCGTTAGAAGACACGTGAGTGAAGTGCCTTGTTGGGTTTGATGTAGTCGGGTTTGTTGTGTTTTGTGTATTTGAGAGCTAGTTGGTCCTTGAGCAAGATCAATTTCAAGAGTTCACATGAGATATGATGAGGAGGAATTTGTATGGAGTTTTGGTATGGGAAGTGAAGAATATAGGTATTTTTATAGAGAAAAGAAAAAAAAAAAAAAAAAAAAAAAAAAAAAATGAATTTTTTGGTATTTAAATTGGCCTTTGATGTCACTACCTTTGGGGCTTGACTAGTTTCATGGGGCCCACTTCTTGCCATGGCAATTTTTCCTCGGTGGGGTTGTTTTTAGAGCCTAGGCTCCCTTTTGCCACGACAAAAGAAGATGGGTGGAATCGCTCTTAGGGAATGATTTACTTCAAGATCAACACTTCACTCATTTAATTTTGGAACTTAGCTCTAAAGTGTTGTTTGGCTACTCCACACCTTAAACAAATTTTCTTGAAGATAGTTTGGCTAATGAAGGTCATTCAACTAGGGGTGCCAAAGTATGGAGACAGTGACTTCAGACGTTCCCTCGAGGCTTTATTTTGTAGTTTTGGTTTTCTTTCTTTTAGGTATGTAAAATGGGCTTGGTCGGGTCCAATCAGCAGCTTCTTTAGCACTAAGGGTTGTGGGGGTCGGGCTGGGTCAGCTCTATCTTTAATAAGTTAAGCCCAAGCCCTACCCAAAGGCCAAGAATTTGTGCTCATAGGAGGACCAATGGGTCGGCCCTATATGGTCATGTCAAATAGACAATATATAATTAATTAAATATAATTACACTTAATTAAATACAATTATAATTAATACTAGTTTACTTTTATAAGGATATTAAATACAAAATGTTAATATTAAATGGTCATTTTTTCTTTCAAATTTTTAATTAAATACAAATATTATTAATATTAGTTTAATTTTATATAAATATGATTTATTAACTTAAATATCGGATGACTACCCAAGGGCTTGCAAATCATGGCCTATGCCCTACCATTAACACAACGGGTTGGCTAAGCCTGACCACCATATTGAGTTGGACCATTCTATATCCCAAAAATTAGGGCTGAGTTTGGGGCTAGCCCATTGGGCTTGGGCCTTTTTACAAGCATATAATCTCTTTCTTGAAGCCCAAGAAAACTCAAATCCATCTACAACGTCTCAATCTCCACCTAGACCTCGTCACATTTTGTCCAGACACTGTTCCTCACATTGAAGGCCTCCATGAGGGCGTTGAGTTTGCCTCTAAGGCCCCGACACCTTTGATCAATTTGCTCTATATCACCAAGGATGGCACCAATGACCTAATGCAAGCATTCCTAAACGCTAGCGTCCTCTATCGTGAAAATAAAATTTATATGATTTTCTATGACTTTACTCATTGGATACCATAAATCATAAGGAAACTTGGGGTTGGGATCAAATCCATTTATTACAGCATTGCTTGTTTAGTTGTGTACGCATTTAACCTTGTCTCGAGGCGAAATTACAACCCTAGCCTTACTGGTATTACCGAGGAACAACTGTGGGACCTACCTCATGGATACCTATGAGAAACCATGGTGCTGCTTCTTGACCATGAGCTCATCAGGAACAACTTTTAGAAACGGTATGGATTAGATGGCTTCAAACTTTATCAAAGACTCACTTTATTGAAGGTAAATTTTGCTATTACATGCTTTTAGTTCGGCTAGTTTGGGGTTGGAAGACTCTAATAAGAATAACCCACCGTTAGAAGACACATGAGTGAAGTGCCTTATTGGGTTTGATGTAGTCAAGTTTGTTGTGTTTTGTGCATTTAAGAGCTAGTTGGTCCTTGAGCAAGAACAATTCCAAAAGCTTGTGCTAAGTTTGAGTTAACTGGGT